ACTTTCATGTAAAACTGTAGCTGTAATAGTAAAGGTAATTTTAAAGAAAGCTTCCACTGGTCTTCCATAAGCCTGTGTAATTGACGGAATGAGATTTGATAGAACAGGATTTGTATCTCCAAAATATTCTATTTATGCTTTTAGAAACTTCTTTAAAAGTAGACAAATGAGTGAAGAAATTCAATTCCTTGTTCCGTCTGATCTTTGCTTCCTCTCTCTTTCTCGCTCTCGTTTTTGCTGTGACGGCGCAGGGGTGTTAATTTCACACCTGAGGCTAGGCCGTTTTGACCCCAGACTCTGCACCCCTCCAGACGAGTATAGAATTCTCTTGGGTTCTAGCCATAATGTGACGTTTCCTGTAATACAGACCTCATCCCTGTAAATTGAGTGACGTGCATTGTTGTGGGCCCTTCCTGTTTCCTGGGTAAATCTTGGCCAACATCTGAGGAGCCTTTCACCGTTTGAAGGCTACTCAGCTCAGATTCATCCAGTGAGGAGATCTCTGCTGTACGTTCGTGGCTTTCTTGTTGACATCTAAAGCCGTTTCTTCTCCAAAAATCTGTTGGTGTTCCCTGGGCCTCTAAATAAGGAACATGCTAAGCCATTTTAGGACGTAATCGACCTGGCCCCAATATCCATGTTGAAGCTAAGCTCGGGCTTGGTCAAAGCTGCTATTAATGATGGATATTATAAACATGCCCCTAAAACAAGATCAGATGTGAGCGTGTTTTGGGCCCAGGAAGAAAGACTTCACTGCGTTGTCCTAATGCTTGTAGACATTTTCCTCCCGCTAGTCTTTCTTCACTGACTGGGTGGTCTAGCCTCAGAGAAACACATGGTTATTTTCATGTTTAATTCACTCACAATGGCTTCAAAACACACAACTTATGTCTCTCTTGTGAAATGAAAGCCATTGTTAAATTAAATTAAAGTTTATAAATTGTAACATATTGTTTTATGCAGCCCCCCCAAAATATCCCGAAGTGAAGCAAGTTGATCTGAAAGCATTTTGTCCTCCTGTTTCTTCCATTGAAGTCCACGAAGCATATTAAATGATGTCAGGATATTTTTCCACTAAGAAGATAAATGAGCAAAACACAAGCTTACAGGCTCAAAAACACTCCTTTTGCCCTAAATTCCTATTTTAAAACATGTTAGTGGTTAAAATGGCACTGTATAGTTGATATATAAAAGATATATATTTATTATTTGATATTAGAGAGAATCGATCTTATGCTCTATCATTTGAATAATTACAGTGTAGAGCAAACCTGAGGGAATTTGCATGAATCAGCAAGCATGAAAAGTTCTGAACAATTTTGCTAAGCGCTAGGAGCAATTTTAGTGGTTACACACTTTCCTTACAATGTCTTTTGTACGAAATCCAGCAAAATTGCTCTCACGAATATAATTTCTAGTCTTTGTGAGGTCAGGTTGATTTATCACATCCTTTTTCCAAAACCATTTAAAGTAATTTAGCTGTGATAAGTTTAATAATAAGTAACATGGGTAGGTCTGCTGCAGCATCATACCATTTCACAATGCAGTATGTTTTATGGGTTTTTTGTACCACGATATGACACATTTTCAATACAGAAGTTAAAAACAGATGGCATCATTCATTTTGCTTTTTTTTTGGTCTGCCAGATTCCCAAAACATGAAAGCATGGGGTGTTGAATGCATAACTAACTTAAGCAAGCAATTTTCCTAAAAGACAAATAAATAGCACACGCTCACCTTGTGTGATATTGTTATCTGTGTATTCTATCTGGGTAGATTGATAGTCTACTTGCAGATTGATAGTCTAGATGCACATCTTAAGTGAAGTGATTCAGTTAAAAATGTCTCATTTCAAAGGTTGGAACTTGGTATTGGTATTGGCCAATTCTCAGGATTTTGGTATCTTTAGTAAATTAGTTTGATTATATTGAGTATATATTTTTATTATTACTTTCATGTTTGTCATGGAGTATTTTTTAGTAGAACAGTGGAAACCAGTTGAATTCACGTCAATATGTCCAATATCGTAAATAGCACTAAATCTAACTGCGTTGTTGTCTCCCCATCCCCATATCCACAGAAATTATTATTATTTTGGAACACCCCTTCAGAATATGTCACTTCAAATAAATATCAGTCAGAGTTTTTATAATCAGTAATGGATCTGCCATATTTGATTACAGTGAATTGGCCCAGTTTCTGGTATGATTGCTCTGCGGTGAGTAACTGGGACGCCCGTGTGAGCTATATTGCCAGCTTCTCCGGGGTCCTTGATCCTGGAAATGGAGAAGTTTTATTTTCTCTGTGGGTAGGTAGAGAGAGCATGAAGAATCGACAGCTTTGAGAGGCAGACTTGGACAGCGTTCAGCAGGGCTCTTTGAAAGGCGGCTTTTGTAGCAGCGTGGGCTGTGCGTTCGTGTATCAGTCTTAGGTGTGCCACATGAGGACTTCTCTGCCCAAGCTTAATAAAGCATCTCACATACACATGCATGCGCACACGCGCACACACACACACACACACACACACATACACATGCATATGCATACACATACACTCAGTTCCACTGATTACACTCATCAATCATGTGTGTCTGTTTGAGATCTGGCTAGCAGTTTGTGTGTGTGTGTGTGTGTGTGTGTGTGTGTGTGTGTGTGTGTGTGTGTGTGTGTGCACGCACAAGCATGCGTGTGAGTTTGAGGCTTTTAAAAGTAAGCCTGTATGTTTCGTTTGCACTGGAATAGTTTGTGCTTTTGAGTGTACTTTTTCAGAGTAGTGATGTACCAAAACGAAAATTCTCAGCCAAAACTGAAAACAAAATTCAGGACACACTGGGCCGAAAACTGAAACCTAGAACCGAAAATTGCTCAATAAATAACATCATGCTATCGGGGACTTTCCTTTCTGCTTTTGTTGCTTTGCTCTATTTTGCATCACATCTGTAGTGGAGATGCTCTAGTACATTATACCCTCCTTTGATACTTACGAACAGGCATAAACAGTGATTACTTATCTAATATTCCTTGTACAAACTGTGAAATAGTTTCACACGCCTGACATTTTCACTGTTGTTCTGCTGCTGCCCAAACTGTTTGAGCTCTGGCCAGCAGCTTTTGTAGCAGTGGCCAGCGGCTGTTGTAGCTGGAAAGTGGAGAGCAGGAGAGTGGAAGGAGCAAACAGTGTTTTCATCACTTGTTTTCATTGGCGATGAAATTATTTGCAAAGTCTGGGATTTTGACACTTCTTTGTAGACTTGTTTAATCTTTTTCACTTTTCTCTTTCAGCTAAAAAACAAAAGTGACATTTGCAACCATTTTCAGCCAAAAATTTCAGTGGCTGAAATTTTGGTACATTCGTTATTCAGAGAGTGACGTCTCTTAATGATGTCTGTTTTTTATTTTGCCCATCTTTGTGGCTTGATAAAACTTTCTAATATGTTACATGTTAACAAAAGCGATCCACAGAGTATTGTCTGTTAATCATATCATGGGGTGTGTCTCAAAACCTAGTGAGCTCTCTAAGTAGCCGCTGTCTACATAGGCAGCTGTCTAAGTAGGCAGCGTTCCAACCGTCATCTATCCTTATAAGATAGATAAATAAGACGCTCTAGTTAGACAGCAGTGACATTGCCGCTTGTTCCCGCCCACTGCACGAGACCGGCGTTTACTTACCTCAGCAGTCAGAATCACATTTAGCCAACATGGATCCTGAATGAAACAGCAAAATAGACAATAGTTGTGGTCAAACGCGGAAAGTATAGGCTATTTGTGCACTTTTATGACTAGAAAACAGATAAATACCCCAGAAAATCAGAATAACTTACATTTGAAGATGACGTCGTTGCTTGGTGAAGCGTTTCTGCCCGCCATCTTCAAACAAAAGTTGCACCGCACTGCATTGCGGGATTGCCTCAGCGGCTGAGGAAACATTCGGTGCTCTCTTGATATTCGGCCAGAATGAGATACCTCAGTAGGCAGCATATTTGAGATATCTAAGAATTGAGACAGCCTTCATGTAGGGAGCGCGCATATTGTGACGTAAAATGCTGTCTATGTAGAGAGCTCACTAGGTTTTGAGACACACCCATAGTCTTGAACCTATACTGATAGGTCAGAGGGCTGCAATATGCAAATGAGCCCTCCAGCCACAACATTTTTGTTGTGTGCTGTGATCATGTTGACTATTGCAGATGAGTTTTATGGATGTTGTGCTGAATCAAGGCAACTATGAATTTCAACAAACATAATTTGCTTAAAAAAATGCAGGAGAAAATTGCCACAGCAGTGGTTCATCTGTGTTATGTATTGTGAGGCAGATCTTAATCACAGTATTCAGTAATGTTATCACAACGTCTCTATATCGTGCAGCCTGAGTTTATAAGGCTGTAACAACTTTAGGATACACCCCTTGTTCTCTTCTGAGGGTCTGTCCTTTGCCATCTTTTATCGTAATTACAAAATCTAAAAAAGACAATGAAACAGTATCTTAGTTATAGTTACTCAGCACATTTTAACTGTGCTTTTGTTGATGTTGATTGCAGTTTTTGTATAGCTTATAATTCAGTTACACTGTTTTATAAGATCACTATCTCTTGCACAATGACATGTTACTTCAGATATATCAGAAAGATTACACCACTACAAGTTGACAGTAGTGAGAGTTTACTGTAAATATGTTAGAACAGAGGTACCCTCTTTCAATTTTATGTAATTCCTGGGCATAACAACAGCATTCAGTTTAGGAATTCATGTTGGATTATGGGCTTTTGCTTTGCATGTTTACTAGTTTGCTTTTACTGCTGTGAGGGTAACTTGTTATTCGAAATGTTTGTATTATAATAAGAGACTCCTGTACTTGGTTTAGGTACAGGTTTGTTTTAAGGTTGGAAAAAACAAAGTGAGTCCATGGATATGCTGTTCACTGTAATATAGCTGGCTTCAGTCGCATGTGTCTCATACATTTTGCCTCGCTCTCCTTCTCTCTCTCCCCTTCTCTCTATAGTGGATGGCAGAGTGAATCAGGAGCTGAAATACACGCGACAAAAGATCGGGGAGGAGGCCATGTTTAACCCTCAGCTGATGATCCAGACGCCTCGCAATCAGGGAGCAAACATCCTGACTGTGGAGGCACTGAAACAGCACCTGGACTCGGCCATCAAAGCTAGCAGAGTGCATGTTTCAATGTACAACAGGTACCATGCAACCACTTTCTGTTATCTATCATATAGATTTGAACTGCTCAATATAGCACTGAGCATGCAGCGCAGGCCTTCTAGTGCAGGTTTTTATGTTACACTTTGATTTCTTAACATACATGCAATGTAGCAAAAACAGCTACTTTAGGTAGGTTAAGCAGCACTCAGTTCATGTTCATTAAATTGTCTTCCTTGGTATGAAGAGCAGCCTTTGCTTAAATAATGATTTTACAGTGTTTTTGTCTAAATAATTGTTAAAAGCACATTCTGGAAATCTCTTACCACAGAGGTAGTTTAAGCACCTGAACTCCATTTTCTTTTCAGTTTTACTGTTTGTACAAAGATCAAAAGATCCAAACAGCTTTCTATGTAATATATATATATGTGTGTATATATATATGTGTGTATATATATATATATATATATATATATATATATATATGTATGCAAAAAGGCACCCCTAGTAATATGACATGCTTTTCCTCTATGGAGAACACACATTTGCACGTTTTAATGCACAACTATTGTTTATTTGCTGCATTTAACACATTGGAAAAAAATCAACTCTGAAATTGTACACTAAAACTTGCAGAAAAGTATTATAAATTTCCCTGTAGAAGATGTTAACTTATTTTCATTTAGAAAAGCATGTAATTTGACCGGAGGGTTGTTCAAACGTTCGCTCATGACTGTATGAAGTTAAGCAAACATGCCCAAAAAGCATTTACATTTTGTGAATCTCAGATGTATTCAAACCTTTGACTGGCTGTCTACATACATTCCAGGCCTAATTCATGTTTTTTTTTTTTAATTCTTGAGCAGGTTTCAATGTCCATGTGATGCTAACTGTATTGTTTTACTTGTCATTCATTGCAGGAAATGGAAATTAGAACATTTATGCTACAAATCAGGAGAATTTGTTACGGAAAACAATTTTGCTTACCAGGTGAGGGAGGTGCTTGAAACATTATAGGAAATATTACTATCGAATGTACTGTGCTAGATGGGCACTGAGAATAATAACTAAATAAAGCCTTCATTTTTTCAGATAATTGAAAATCTACATCCCTGTCTCATCATTACACCTCTGGACTGCTTCTGGGAAGGTGCTAAGCTACATTCAGGCATAGCCTATCTCCCGTAAGTGGCATTAACACATCTTTTAATGTTGTTCCACGAACATCTGTTTTAGGTTGCTTTTTCAAAGTTCTTCTATGAGGAAATGACACATCAAGGTGATGACAAAATCTCTGAAAACATGCTTCAGCTCAAATAAAGGAGTGTGCTTATGAGTGAGCAGCGACGGTGGCAGGAGGATAAACGTTGATTTGGCTGGATTGCTTTGTTGTATTTGGCATTAGAAGGCTGCACTGGTCCTCACTGAAGGCATCCATTGTGATGGCTCTGTGGCCTGGGCAAACTGGTCTGGGCCCCCATGCAATTGTTCCCCTTCTGCTTCTAATAGCTCCTTGCAACAGTTACACTCAGCAGACTTCCCTCCATTCCAGCAAAAGCAGAGCTCTCTGTTGCGGTCTCTCTCTCTCTCTGTCTCTCTCTCTCTCTCTCTCTCTCTCTCTGCCTCTCTGTCTCTCTCTCCCTCCCTCCCTTCCTTTTTCTCTCTCCATTGCGGACGGTAAATAAGGATTTTACTGTGTTCTGGTTGGGGGACTTGGAATAATGACCCAAGCCTGGTTAGGCACATACAATGTGGTCTGAGCCATGAAGGGCCAGCCAGAGGAGCCTGCTCTGACAGGAGGGAGAGTTGGACATACAGAGAAATAAAGAGAGAGTTGCAGCAGAGATGGAAGGACAGCTGGTATGGTGGAGAGTTGACAGGGGGCCGGACGGCGGAGTGGTAGGAGTGGAAGAACGATAGCACAAGGTTGAAAGGAGAGAGGGAGTGAGGATTCTGGGAGCAGGGGAGGACATGTGAGGATAGCATGTGGACAGATTTACTGAGGAAACAAGGGATCTGGCAAGGCCAGCCAGCAAGAGCAGGGCAGCAAGAAGACCAAAAGGGAGAAGATGGCATTAAAAAGTACTGGAGGTCTGTGAAATGACTCAGAAGACTCTTAGTTGTGGGGAGGTGGCAGGCCATAAGCTAGACCAGCAGCATGGTATAATTAGTGAGGATTTTCCTCAGATGATTGGGCTGATGCCGTGCTGCAGGGCTGTCATTATAGTGGCAGGCTGAAACTCAATCTCTGCTTTAATGGTGCCACCGCCATATGAGGCAGAAGCCAGCCCTAAAAAATTCCATTAGTTGTCCTTTATTTGTTCAGTTTCCTGTGGCCAAGAGTGATCTATATTCAGAAGGCTCGGTTCTCCTGCATTCTCAATTCAGATGTTTTTCAGGCATGCTAAATTATAGGTGCGTGTGTAAAATGCATGTAGAGCCCTCTTTGATTTAAGGCTGGCTTCCTGCAGTGGTGAACCCCCTCTGCAGTGGGTCAACTTTGACCCTATGGCGCTGATTGCTAAGCTGAAGGCAGTGACCAACCTGGTGGACAGTTGGGAGGAGATGCTGGCGAAGGCTGAAGTAGGACATGGCTACATGGATCGACCCTGCATCAACCCCGCAGACCCAGACTGTCCTGTATCTGCTCCCAACAAGAACTCTTCACGGGTAAACCTAACAGACGCAACACCCACCTTTAGAAACCTTTTTGTAATCCCAATAAACTGGTTTAAAGCCCCATATGATGGTACTGTACATGATATATAATGTTGCCTCAAAAGTCTTATTGCCTCAGTTATGTGCAAGACCCCATAAATTCTTTAGTATTCATTTCCTGATTTTAGTTTGTCAACGATTCTAATCTTGAGGTGCTATCACATTGTTCTAAGACGTCACTCTTGTTTCTGCTAGCCGTTGGACATTGCCCGTGTCCTGACCGGTGGCTGCTATGGAGTCTCCAGAAAGTACATGCACTGGCAGGAGGAGCTCATCATCGGAGGGACCAAGAAGAACGACAGTGGCAGGCTTCTCAGGTAAGACCAACCAGATGCAGATACACCACAGAGAGCTTCAGCAACACAGGCTCTATAGATGTGGAGAAGAAATAAGGTAACTTGTTTGGCAGGCATAGTAACAAGCTTATTTTGGCTGGTCAGGGTCATTAGTGATGCATGTATTTGTATTAGCAAGGCACAATGAAACTGATGTGTTTACGTGCCTTTACATGTGTTTACATGTGTTTCCAGACTGTGGTGATTTTGCAGGCACAGCTTGATCCAAGCTATGACAGAGAGCTGGTATAATGCAGATAGTGTAGAGATAGTATAAGCTCTTGGTGGAGGTTGTCTCATTTAAGGTAGCATGTTTTGCTGGGAATTAGTCAAGGCAGTTTGTAGATATCTTTTCACCTCTTCTCTGGGTGAAAGGAGATGTAAAACCAAGCAGTAGATCTGAGAAGTGCTGGGCTAGCACAATAGATACATGAGAGTCCACTTGAGGGAGTCTGTACTATGTGCTTCAGGAGATAAAGGGAAATGGTTGTCCCTGCTGTTATTATTCTCATTCAGAGTGGTAGATGACAATGATAAGTCTTTGAGCAGTTTTTAGTTTGGTTTTACATTTGAGAAGTTTGAATGAGCCCAAGATAAGCTGTTCAGTGTAGTTAATCTCAGCACAGTATGTTTTAGGGCTGAAACAAAATTTCAGGCACTGAAGACTTCTGGCCAAAAGTGGTCAAATATGGCACTTTCGGTTTTTGGCCAAAGGGGTCAAAAACTGGATGGGTAAAGATTGGATAGGTAAAAAATCTTTACAAAAAAGACTTTACAAACATTTTTAATTCTAATGAAAATTAGAAGTAGTGGTTAAAAACAATGTTTTATTTTTCCTCTGCTGGTTCAAGGAGTTTGAGCTGCAGCAAATCAACACCATCAGCATTGATGCCATCTCTAGCCACTTAGTTTTTGAAATGCCAAAAAATGACAAATAACAGAGTGCAACTCTGAGTATAAATAAAAAATAATAATAATTCATTGCCTTGGTTGACCAGCTGTTCTCTGCAGTTGAGGACGTTTGATTTCCTGGCACATACTGAAGCATACTGTAGTAATTTTTATGTGAACTGTGTCTTGTTTATTGTCAGCTTTTTTCAGTTTTCAGTTTCAGCTTTCTGCCCTCTGTATCCTTCATTTTGGTTTCATGTGCTATATTGCATTTTCTTCTCTCTCTCAGTGCCCAGGCTCTGCAGACCATGTTCCAGCTCATGACTCCCAAGCAGATGTACGAGCACTTAAAGGGCTATGAAGCAGTCTCTCACATGAACTGGAACGAGGACAAAGCAGCTGCCATCCTGGAGGCCTGGCAGAGGAGGTACTCCGAGGTAAATTCTTGCTTTTAATATGCACCTTTTAACAGGCAACTCTAAGACACCTCAGCCAGTTCAGCTGAGCTAACCAACTCATATCTGATGAAGTCCATAAAGCTTCTGGAGTTGGTTTCTGAAGCTTATTTGTGGGGGGTCTCAAAAAGAAGAATAAAGAAGAGACTTTTTGATATGGCATTGATGAGAGCTGAATAGCGAGAATGTAGCTCTGGGCTTTTCATTCACACAATCACCACTTACAAACACAGGAAAAGTCTTTCCCATGTGACATATGAATTATTCTGACAAACTGTGACATGAATGCTTTTGGAAACCTTCACCAAGCATGACCCCACCTGGAACTAATATGCAAATGGTGTTTTATTGGCCTACATCAAAGCCTCTCATACCACACTCCATGCCCTGACACACATACACAGACACACACACATTCACACATATACAAGCTGAGTGTGAGGGAAGGCATTCCACCATCATAAGTAAAGTACACATTCCTCAGTCTCTCTCTCTCTCTCTCTCTCTCTCTCTCTCTCTCTCTCTCTCTCTCCTCTCTCTCTCTCTCTCTCTCTCTCTCTCTCTCTCTCCCCTCTCTCCCCTTTCTGAAGGTTAGAGCCCAGCTGTTTGGGGCTTCAAAAGGAAATCCAGCCCCCTTTTTCTCCTCCATATTTAAACGCCCGCATTATGTGTGAACTTGGGGAGGTGCATCTGTAAGGCCAGGAAAGGTCACGTTTACATCCTACAGAGCTCTAACGCCTGTGCTTAAGGCAGGCCACTCTTTTATAGGAAAGGACAGCATTATGTTGTGCTACTCTGGGTATGCAGATAGAATATACATGCCATGTCAGTGCCAAAGAGTATATGATTTATATGGAAATTTTTAGAGGAGACAAGTCAGTTTTGTACTTAGTTTTAGTGGACTATGGACCTAAAGTGTATGCCACTTTATTGCAGTGTGGGTCCCACAAAAGCAGAACAACAACAGATTTCTGTCAGATACAAAAGGGACCCCACTGAATATATAAGCTCCTAGGAGTGGTGGCCCCAACTCAGCAACGTGTGTGAATTACCAGTGTATGCGTAATGTGGGCCTGTCTGGAACGCATTAACCCGCACAGAGCTCGATCTCTTTCACAGCTGCCGTCCCATTGGTGGTTTCTGTGTGACATCATCTGGTCAGTGTTGTTTAGGCCCTGACCTCTGCTTGGCATAGGGTTACCCCTTAATGCATGTCTGTGTGGGTGCCAGTTTTTCTCTCTCTGTGTGTGTGTGTGTGTGTATGGGTGTGTGTGTATATGGGTGTGTGTGTGTGTGTGGTTGGGTGGAGCTGCCACTTGTTCTTGAGCATGAATAACTTATTGTGGTGAAAAACAGACTGAAATTGTGTTTCATGCTAATTTACAGCAGGTGAAAATCTAAACGTTAATTGTAGAACATTGTTAAGCTGCTGTTGTTTGTCTAATTGCTGTGAAAGTGAAGACAGATTTTGAACCCTCTCACTCTAATCTTGTCTTCAGGTGGTCCAGCAGAGTGTGTCCATCAACTCTTCTCAGAAGGTGCTGACATTTACCACCACCACTCTAGAGGACATCCTTAAATCCTTTTCCAGTGTTAGTGGCATCCGGATTGCCAGTGGCTACTTGCTTATGGTACACAAACACACAGTGCTCCTTTTGTCTGACTTTACTACTAGAGGTTTTCAGTCTTCGTTACGTATAAACTTACATTTTTTTTTACACTAGCCACAAAAAAGGTTGTAGAGCATGTAATGAAAGACAGCACGGTCTTTTGCCAAATTAAAGCTTAGATCATCAGTTACCATGTAGTGACATGTAGTGATTGGATCACAGATAAATAAATCACATAAAATAATATGGTATAGTAATCAGTTGTCCAGAATTAAGTTTAAATCCAGCTTTGACAAATTTCTTCATCAAGCAATACTTTTGAACATTTTATACGTTTTGGATAAAAGTTATATTTACTCAGCGATTTACTCTGGTTGTGCAGTGCTGTAATGTATGTATGTATGTGTATATTTTTTGTTCGAAAATATTTTAAAATCATCCCACAATAATCAAATTGAACTGAATCAGTATGAAATTGGTGAAATCAATCTAATTGACTTATTCCAAGAACAGAGAATGTTATTTCTAATACTGATCCCTGTACTGGTATGTCTGTCACTTGTGTGCAGCTTGCCTATGCGTGTCTGACCATGCTGCGCTGGGACTGCGCTAAGTCCCAGGGGGCAGTGGGGCTGGCCGGAGTGCTGCTGGTCACTCTGTCTGTCGCAGCTGGACTGGGCCTCTGCTCTCTTATTGGCATCTCCTTCAATGCCGCTACTACTCAGGTACACAACAAACAACACAGTATACATGTGCAAAGATTGTTACCTCATGTGTCAACATTGGGCCTTATATGCCAATGTCTATTTTTTTCTTGAATGTGTTCTTGAGAAAGGTCCTAAGAAAAAGCTTGTCAGATTCATGACGTGTTCTTAAACCGCAGAATTGCTTACACCTTGAGTGTGTGTAGATTCTGTTCTTACCTAAGAACAAACTCTAAACAAGAAAACATTGTTGAATGTCAGAATCCTCATAAAAAAAACTGATTAAGTGGGTTTTAAGAAGAAAATTCTTCTTAAGAATGGTTGGTGAATGAGACCCATTGTTTTTAAACTTTGTTGATGTTTTCTCATTTATCTGTGCAAAGGTGCTACCATTCCTTGCCCTAGGCGTGGGAGTGGATGATGTCTTTCTCCTCGCTCACGCCTTCAGTGAAACTGGCCAGAATAAGAGAATCCCATTTGAGGTGAGTAAACCTCTCTCTCTCTCTCTCTCTCTCTCTCTCTCTCTCTTTCTTCCCTCTCTATCACTATCTTACCCTCATATCCCCCAGAAAACAGGCAACACAAATACAGGTTAAACATCTCTTGCTCGATCTCAAACAGTTTTCATTGTTCGCTATACATAACTTTTGGACCACAGATTGTGTTGAGACAAGATCGTGCTCTGCTGTAAGAGAAAGCTGAGTTGATATCTTGGGGGAAGGGCTGTGCTTTGCCCTCATGCTATCCCTCACGTAAAGGAATGTGTATGTACCTGCCCTGGCCTGTGATGTAAGTTCAAACAAGCCCCCCACTCAGCTTTGATGTGCGGCAGCATCATAGAGAGGCTCCTGGGGGCTCTTGGGGACCACTATAAGAAGTGTGTGACTGCAGAAGAGCTTGAGAGTGGGAATGAGAGGATGGAGTTGATGACAAACCCACACTTGCAGCAGAGTGTATGCAGACGTCCATGCATGTGTGCATATGTGACTTTGCGTATGTCATTCTGTATCTTATTATTTGAACATGCTTTAAGAAATAGCTGCGAGGCTAATCTAGGTAACAAATAATGAAACCGTTCAGCCCATCGTATGTGTCTGAATCTCATGCTTAAGTATAAGGGAAATGTTTTCAACATTTCTGCATAGTTTAATCATTGAGATGTAAACACAATCATCCAAAATGGTTTGGTGTGAAATAGTTCATTGTAGAGAAGCTTCTAGTTCTGATTTCTTAATAATTATGGTGATAGCAACCAGGGGTCACAATGTTTAATACAGCCACAATGTAAACATAGCCATTTTATTTGCAATCCATAGTGACCGGTGAACCTACACATCTTTATATATATATATATACATATATAAAATGATTGTAACAGATAAAAGGGGTAAATCAGGAATCAAGCTTTTTTGGGGGACCTAAGTACACCCTGCATGTACCTCTCCGCACCTTTAAGCAAGTTTAAATATACTTGCTTATGTGGTTTCTGACGGTGCATGGAATACTATTGTCTAAAAAGTACAGGCTTTAGATTAATACTGAAATCAAATTTGACCTATTTTACCTTGTCAGTTCATGGCCGAGCATGATTTATTATCTCATATTGAAAGACAAATGTATTGTTTTCCTGTATTCTTCCATCAGAATGTAATGATTTTGGCCCACTTCAGGTGTTTGATTATGTCACTGTCCACCTGCTTTTTGCAGCATAATTCTGTCCATTTTTATAGAGAAAGGTAGGTCATATAGTGTCAGAAACCACATAAGCAAATCTGCTTTTGCTCATAAACGCATATTGTTGCTGCGTTTGCAAAACCTTATATCCAATTTTAAATTTTTTTTTTGACAAAATTTAAAATGACCGCTGCCCTTTTCATTGTGTTAAAATATCATAATAAATGAACCAATGATAATGGTCCAAAATTACTTGGAATAAATAATTTCTGCATTAACTTTCAATAAAAGTTAATGTTTTTTTCTAAAAAAGTCACCATTTTTGATATGCCCATGCCATTACTGCCTGAGTTTCTTAAAAGTTCCCCTCTTGTTGTGGAGATACGTACTTTGGCAGTAGACAGGAACCTGGTCTCGTATGAATGGAAATAACTCCTGGGGTGGCGTTGCTAGATTGCCATCAAGTGGACAGACTTTCCTGTAAGGACTTTGGTTAAAGTTGCACAGTTAGCTGTTGCAGGTAGTGCATGCATGGAACGGATAATCTATATAGAGGAAGTGTATATGTTAAATGCATCGCTTATAATTAATATTGCTCTGTTATAGAGATATGAGTAACACTGGAAATTAAATTCTTACTAAGTCAGTAACTGTAATGTGATTACAGCTGTAATGCTTTATACTGCTTTGTTACAGGAAAAGTAATTACATTACTTACAATATATTGTACCACATTTTTCCCGACATTGACTGTATATATGTAATATAAGTCTTGTAGTTATGAGAGTAAATGTTTGTGTTTATGAGAGTGTGTGTGTGTGTGTGGAGGGTTGGGGAGAGAGGTGTGAGTGTTCAGGTTGCTGTGGTGGTGGTGGGAGGGGTGGGGGGGTGTTGAGGCATGTATTTGCTTGTGTTTGTGTGCGATTGCGCAGTGCTGGGTGCTTTTTATGCAGAAAGTAAACAGCGCGCTGTGGGGGGAGCGCGCAGAGCCGTCTTGACTTAAAACACACTCTGTGTGGTCCTGCACGTCCTCAGAGCTTCACACACAGCCCGCACCGCTTTCCCTCCCTCTCCCTCTCTCTCTTGCTCTCTGTCTCGCTCTCTCATTTTTTCTCTCAAACTGGATTTTTTCCTTCCTTTCCCACTCTACCCCCCACCCGCCTTACTCTCGCTCTCCACCTCCATGTGCGTGCGTGTGTGTGTGGAGGTGGAGTTTGGAACAGTTTCTTATCCTTCTCAACACTCTGAATGGCTTTGAAATGAAGAGGGAGAGCTTATCCTAACAAGACAATGAGCCAATCATGTTTCGGTGGCCCCAAGCGGCTTTGTTTAAAAGGATATCTCCTGCCTTTGATGGAAAATATTTCTGCGTGAGCGAGGGATAAGGAGAGGGAGGGAAATAAATCTCTTTTCTTTTTTTTTTCTTTTTTTTCTTTCTTTTTTTGCTCTCCTTCAGAGAAAGCCACATAATAGTGGATTAGAAAGGAAAAGCTTTTCATCAGGACTTCAGCTCATTAAGTTGTCATGGCAGATTCAGTGATTGCAGACTCTCTCGCTTGGAAATAGCAGCTACACAGCTTTCACAAGTTGGGTCTTAAACAAGGAAAGATAAAGCGGGATCCCTTTGCAGCACTCGTAGTAGATAATGTGCCTTTGATAGAGCGAGGCTTGTTTATGACGGAAGTTTAGTAAATCTTGTTTTCATACGAGTGATGCCCTTTCAGTACTATTTGGGCTGTTTAGGGCTGTTTAGAGAGAGTTACAGGGTCCTCTGTTGTCATGTTCATGATGCCAGTTACAGAAAGCGCAATGAATATTGATAATGATGTATTTGTAGTGTGTAAATATTTTGTACAGCAGGAAAAGGACAACATTTTTGTCATACATATTTATTCAGTGTATTCAGGTGTACAGACTGCAAATACTTTATTGAATATCATTATACTGAATTACAATCCATGGCCGCTGTAATAACAAGGGTGAACAAGTATTTGAACCACCACTTTTCAAAGTTCTGGGGAGATGCCCCACCACTTTTTGACTGAGCTCCAGCTGCTTATTTTGAAAAAAACAGAAAAGAAAACTCACTGATCTGTAGATTTTACCTCACCTCTTTTGGAAGTGTTTGGCCAGCCCTGTTATTAATTTTAACATTCTATAATCAGTGTAAAGGAACTTTCAGATTGATGCATTATGCTCTGATCCATTTTTACACCTTCACTCTGTGTTTATATTAGCAGGCGGCAGAGCAACAGGTGAACAGTCGTTTTCTAAGGAAGTTCGCAGTTTGTAGCTGCAAATTAGCAACAGGTTTCTTTATGCAAATTAAGTATGATGGAGTGAAATGACAATTTAAATGTTGCTCCAATTAATTCCCGGACCAATCATGTACACGGGGGTCCGAGATCCCCACCCTGTGCTCTCTAAACTTTTTGTTCCACATAGCATCACTACAAATGGAAGAGAATCTTATAAACCTGTAATCCTATAACCGTGATTCTTATTTTAAACCAAACAGCAATACATACCGTACATGCAAGATGCTCACGAGATGTAAATTTGAGGCAACATCAATGACTTGTAACCTCCTAATGTGAACATACAGTTAGTGAGTATATACAGTCATATGCAAAACCTTAGGCGCTGCTGGTCAAATGACGTTTTGTTGATTTTCCAAGTGAAAATAAGTTCACATGTTCTCTACAGGGAACACCCTTCTGCACATTTATTGCACAATTACTGTTTATTTGCTGCATTTAACATAGTTTTGAAAAAAAAAACTAGTGCAAACGTTAAGGCACATTCTGTATTTGTTGTTTTGTTTTTTGCCAGTGTGTTAAACTTTAATTTATTTATGGAGAATTGCAGAAAGATGTCATATTTAAGTTTGTTGAGGACTTACTTTCAACAAAACATGTAATTTTATCAAGGGTTCTCAATATTTCCATACAGACTGTATATTCAGGGAGGCTCATGTTTGACTCTATCCACTATTAGGAGGGAAGAGTGTGCTTGTGTGAGCTCACAAACTCATTATGTCTCTGTCCACTACAGGACCGTACGGGCGAATGTTTGAAGAGGACCGGGGCCAGTGTGGCTTTGACCTCCATCAGTAACATCACTGCTTTCTTCATGGCTGCCCTCATCCCAATCCCAGCACTGCGGGCCTTCTCCCTACAGGTATGTAGTGTATATGAGTGTGTGCTTTGTTTCTGTGAATGCTTCTGTTCGTCGGTTCTGTTGGAGGTTTCCGTATCCCTGTTAGACCTGTGTTTCTTTTGTGTACGCATGTGTGTGCAGGGGTGCCTGTGCTTGTGGGGCCTTGCGCTCATTCCTCAGCCTTCATTGGCTCCAGATTTCTCCCGGTGACTTTTATTGATTTCATTCATCAAACTGAGCGTGTGACAGGTTGAGGGTTGGCGTGGCCCGTAACCCCCCCCACTGAGCCTGATTAGTGGTACGGCCCCCGTGTGTCCAGATTGCGGCCTGCGTACACGTAACTCAATCCTGGAGGGGGGTGGCGCTCTGTGGCATCTGTGTGGGAGGTTGTTAGAGGCTGGGGCTTGGCAGCGGTTAGGGTGTGTATGTGTGCGCGCACGTGCTTTCAAACAGCTGTGGTTGATTTGTGTGGGCCTGGCCGTGGAAGTGGGGCAGGATCAGGGCCGAGTAGGAAGCTGCCCACAGCCTGTTACTGAATTGGACTAGGTGAGGTTGCCCTGTCCCACTCTGCAGCAGCAGCTGGAAACTACACAGCCTGAATCAGCGCTCAGCATGGTGGCTGCACACCACCTAGGAATAGTCATGTTTATTTGTATATGTGTATCTTAGGTGTTTAAGTAAGGCATGTTTGTTTTCAGTGAAATAAGACATGACATAAAGCGTGCCTTATCCTTTTACTTCGAACATTTCAAATGAAAAAGCAACACTTTTGTACACTTGAAAATAGTGTGACTGAGTTATTTTATGTTAAATTACACATGCTTAAAGTGAAGTTACCATATGAACCAAATGATCAGGCACGGACCACCTCATACGCTGCGCTTTGCAAAAAAAAAAAAAAAAATGTATCCATAAAATGATTACGTTTTTGTTTTTATGCATCTGCATTCAAAATGAATCTAATTGTACATTGGAGTATTATTCTTTTGGAAAAGCAGACTCAAATCTAATACTGAACGTAAGTCAAATTTAAATAAAATGAACGAAGACAAGTGTCTTCAGGCAATTTTGGTCAAAAATGATTGTAGTCCAGTCAGTCATTTTTTTGATTTCTTGATAAATGTCCAAGCTCATGGCCAAACACACAGATATGTTCATGTTAGCATATTTTGTCGAGTCATACTGCATCACGTCTAACTATATATTCTAAAAGTTGGCTACTTTAATGAAGGCTTAGCTCCGTCCAACACTTTGTACAGTCAACTTGTGTTATGTATCACTATAATAACAACAGTGCATATTGTTTTCTTAATTAAATAGTAAAACAGTGAGATTACAGCAATCTGTAAAATCCTTCATCTAGAGTGGGTTTTCATAATGAAATGAAGTGTTTTAGCTGCAGCATCTTATAAAAGGCAAATTTGTGACTTTTAAAAATATGCAAATCAGTGCATATTTAATATAAGACATCTGCTTATATAAATGTAGGGTTTTTTGGAAAATTCCAAATGAAACAATATGTGTAGAGTTATCAGCAATTAATTTGAAAAAAATCATTGTGATGGCTGTTGTTTTAAAGTTACACTATTCACCTGTAGTCTTTAAAAAATTCACTATGTAAATAACTATGTTATTGCATTTAAATAATTAAATAATATAAACCGAATGTATAGCAAAATGACACACAAATAACTCTAGACTTGAACATTTAAAGGCATGCATGAGTGTTAGGCACACACACATACACTCGCCTTGCTAACCTTATCAATTTAATCCTGTTTGTGGGCCCAACCTACACACTGACTCTCACACACACGCACAGCCTACAAATGCACACATGCTACTTAACCCCTGACCTTTAGGTGAATTAATTTTGCTGTTGTCAGTTTGCACAGCTGTGTGAAGCATAGATTTGCGCTCTCCCTCCTCACTCTGTTCAGTGAGAGCTTTATATAGCTATCAGCATCACACCTGGAGAAACACACCTGGTGCACTCCTGCTCTAACCCACAGCGAGGACCACCTGCTTACCCTGTTGCTGCACTTTCTATCATATGCTCTAGGCCTTCACCCAGCGCCTCAGCTGTAAGCAGTGGGGTCATAGGATGAACTGAAATTCAGGACAGACTGGGTTGAAAATTAAAAAACTGAAAAAAAACTTATAGTAAAAAAGCATGAAAGAAACTTAAGATAAATGAATTATTATTTAATAAATTAAAAACCCTCAATAACACAGAATGGTTGCACAATGAATTCCATTATTTTTATTATACTTTGCACTTTGGCACTGTCATTTACAAATTTTTTCACAATTTCAAAAACTGAGGCTACAGATGACATCAGTGTGCTAGCAGGGAGTTTTCTTTCTGCTTCTGTTGTTTTGCTGTATTCTGCAAATGACATGTTCACTGCTGCTCAGACTGTTTGAACACATCTGCGCTGACCAGTACAGGAGGTCAAAAGAAATGAACAGTTTTTAATCACTATTTAAATCTTAAATTTTGGCACTTCATCAATGGACTATTTAATCTTTGGGTTTTTTCAGTCAAACTTTCAGGCTGGTTTTCTCTTTAAGGCAAAAACTGAAAGTGCCAGTTACAGTTGCTACAATTTCAGTTCATCCCTAGTTTATGGTAATGGAGGAGTGGATGGGAAAACTGGTTGTGCCCTTGTGATTGAACTAATTTTTGTCATTTCCTTTGGTAGTAATGCACAAAAATGAAAATTCATTACACTTGACCCAACAGATTTTTATTTATATGTTTTTCAATTTATGTTCTTAAATGAACATACTAAACATAAAAAACCTTCAAACTAATAATGAAAATACACTTTTATTATTGATAAAATCAGCTTTCAATTGGACATCACTGACATGACAATAAATGAAAACAAACTTACAGTATGTCAGTTTAACAGTATTTTACAGTAACAAATTTCTGTGTGTAGGCTGCATTATGTGCCACAAACCAAAACTTTGTCAATAACAGAATAGCTGGTCATCCAAGGCAGTGAATTCCATTATTTTTTAGTTAAGTTTTGCTCTTAAGTGCTGTCATCTATGGAATTTTTTCATCAATTAAATACTGTGTAAAGTTGCTAGCAGGAGGTTTCTGCTTCCGTTGCTAAATTCAGTGTATCAAGTGGGATGCCATGTTTTTAAGTGGTATTAAACCTGTAATGGAGAAGTTGTTGGGCATTGGTTCCTTTCTTAATTATAGATGTGAACAGAGATTATAGATAGCTTGTCTAATGAGAAACCAATAAATAGTTCCACACAGTTGAGGTATTCGTTGTTGATCTGCTGCTGCTCAAACTGTTTGAACAGGCCCAGGAAAGCTAAGGAAATAAACAGTGTTTTTAATCAGTATTTCTGATTTTCAATTTAATGCAGGCCTGTTTAATCCTAAAATCAGTGCATTCCCTGTTTATGGTAATGTGGGTTATGAAGACCAAATGGTTGGATGGCAAAAACTGGTTGTGCCTTTGTGGTTGAATTGATTTTTGGCCATTTTCTTGCATTCCCTTTGGTGGGTTTAAATGTGTGTGTGAGCTTGCGCTCGCTGTATTAGAATATGTGGGATCTGGCAACTGCATATGCTAAATGTGTAGCGCACACACATAGAGTAAATCTGGTATTAGCATCTGTGGATGGATGGATCGCACAACGTCTGTCAAACTCCACACTGTTTATGCCTGCAGTGCAGTCCAACTGGCATCTATTCGGCAGCACACACACACACACACAAACACACTGTTCCCATGTCTCCAAAAGCTTCCAACAGCCTCCAAAAGATTTCAAGATTTCTCGCTCTTACTAGAATGCTGGAATTCAGACCTTTTTTCCCTCCACTTCACCTGCATGCTGGAGAGAAACCAAGAAACCAATACATGACATGTAAGAATGCACTGTTTTTAGAGATGCTCGTCTGCGTGCATGTACGAGTTCATTGCTACGATGGACTTGGAGTCAAAACACTCATCTCTATCTCCCTGTAGTGTTTTCCTCTCGCTCTCTTTCCCTCCACTGGAGCACAGGGTGATTGCTGTCTGTCTTTCTCACCCTGCGGTCTCGTCCTTATCTGTTTCCTCCTGTCCAAATAGGCGAGAGATAAGGCAGAGTCAGAGCTGCGCTATCGATCTATGACGACTTTGTTCAGGAGTGAGATGAATTGTTCGCTTGACTTGGCCTGTCAGAGTTGCCTTTCAGAACAGCCTGATCAAGACTGACTACACAATAGGATGAGAAGGAACTTCTAATGTAGTCCACCACCTACATTCCAGAGTTTGCCTCTTCAGCTTTGTACTTAGGCTAGTTGTAAAACAATCTCAAATAGACTTACATTCGACAGTTTTCAAGGACGCAACCAGAGTATCCTTCACAGTCCTCTGTTGCTCAGTCTTTTGCACATGTGACCCAAAGAAACAACTAAACGTTGTTTTAAAAAGCCAGTTAAATGTTTTGCAAATTATATGTGATGCTGTTTAACAGGGTCTAAATAGAATACAGTTGTTAGCTCACAGGATAGCACTTAATTACAAGCAGATGAATGTTTTGCCTGCTATGTCAGATCATTTACATCAGTGTTTTCCCCATTAAATTTCACGCACCAATGTGGCTTCGGTATACTGTTCCATTTTGCATTGTGTAATACAAACAAGGAGCCTTCATAGGACAGTGTCACTGAGGATCCACCTTTTTGCTGCAGCCTAGCTTTTGGAACATAGCTTGTATGTCCACAAATATCCAGCCTACTACAGAGTAAATTCAGCTACTTTAAGGCTCACCCATTGCTGACAAAGGTGTCCAATAGTGCACACATAGCTTGTATAATCTGGCCAGTGCCAAGAAGGGTGAAAATTCCCTCCAGGTCCTCTGGAGTGGAGTACCATCCAATACCTTTGGGATGAGTTGGAGAGGAGATCCAGAACTAATTATCCAACATCGGTACCTGACCTCACTAATGCTGAATGTAGTTAGGTCCTCACATAAAGTGTTCCAACATCTAATGTAAAGCCTTCCCAGAACAGCAGAAGCTGTTACTGCAGCACGCTCTCTATTTTGCACTGTTTAAACTGTGCATTTGATATAAAATGATTAAGCATCCAGCTCTACATATTGTGGCGTCGGCAAAGAAGATGACAGGAAAAGTAGCGTGTTGATGAATGCTCTTTTATTGAACACGACAGCATTGGAGAACTGCTGCTCAGTGCTAGCTGGACCAGCCAGGATGCATGCAGGTCAGTAACAGCCATATACTGTCCATACATGGTAGACACTTAGTCAACTAAACCAGCCCCAGAGCCCTGCACGTTAACACACATATAACACAGGCGCACCTTGTTTCTCACTGTGAGTCAGGCTGTCCTGTGGTGCTCTGTGCGCCGCCTCTCTGCATGGCCTACTGCGCATCCATGGCCGAACAAGCCAGTAGCAGGACGCTACAATGTTGATACCCCTTATTTCAGAAAAAGCACTGGATGAGCAGGTATTTACATGTGTTTAGACATCTAGTGTATCAAACAATGTCAGAAACCACGCAAGTCTATTTTATAATATTACAGGTTACTATAATCTCATATAAAAAGGAGTCTGCAGTTAAAGTCCACACGCTGCTCTCTGTGTGGATCAGTGAGAGAGAGAGAGAGAGAGTGTGTGTGTGTGTGTGTGCCAGCCTTCACAGAGCCTCCTCTGTAGAGCTGTTCTCTTGCAGACAGACTTGCTCTTTATCCTCTGTCTCTCTCTGGATCCCTTCATTAGTCATTTAGCCACTCTCTTATTCAGCGTAAAACAGACATGTTCCTCTCACGTTAGTTCAGCTTCTTAAGAAGACTGCAGCTTAGGAAGATGTATGATTTGCTGTTGATGTGTGCGACCGGGGAAGTTAAATGAGAGATGAGTAAGGCATTGAGGATGTTGCGTGGTTTGTGTCTGGCAGTGGTGAGCAGGCTGGGAGGTGTGTGCTGAAGCGCAGGCCTCTCTCAGCACCTTCAGGCTGTGCTGGGCCGCTGCACTCGCTGGGTGGTCTGGCAGTCGAACACACAGCCAATCTCCACCCAGGAACAAAAAAAAACAAGCTAACCAGACCAGGCATGCTACAGTCTGTGTTCTCTCTTTCTCTCTCTCTCTCACCCCTTCTCTTCTTTCCAGTTCTTTCTTTCATTCTTTTACATATATATATATATATATATATATATATATATATATATATGTGTGTGTGTGTGTGTAAAAGTATATATATATGTATATATATATATATATATATATATATATATATATATATGTGTGTGTGTGTGTAAAAGTAAAATCCATTCTATCCGTCCTTCAAAACTATGAGAAGACAACTTAATGCTGTGGGTGAAAGTTGATGGCTGAGAAAAGAAAATAAATGAAGAAGAAAAAAATGCACTAGAACACCAAAGCTAGACATCTGAGATGAGAAAATGTGATATTATATTTAGTTGTTCAGTCTTCTATGTCTATTTTCAGATACGTGTTATCTTAGTAACTTATGTTTTTGAGTACAGGAGTAACTTGTACTTAATGGCTGTTTTAACTGATAAATAAATAAATGAAAAGGTTGTCTCGGACTTTTGCACAGTACTGTTTATATTCCCTATGCTATGTAAGTTGCACATAATGGCATAGATGCATAAACCTCATGTGTTTTCATTCTTGCACTTTCTCTTGGAGAAACTCCATTCCATCTTGACTGTTTAATGTGTATGTATAGAGAAAGAAAGATTTTTTCTGTTTCTTTAGGCACACTGAATCTAAATGCTGGTTTTGCATGTAGCTCTGTAAAGCTGTGGGATCTTATCTGAATGTGCACCTCGGGCTCCAGTGCAATATTTCATCGACTCAGCCTTTGTTTAATAGCCGGTTGCCAACTTTTTTCGAATTAAAGCAATGTCACCCGAAGAGTTCCAAAGGAAGCCTGGGTGGTGCGTGTGTTGTGTTTTTTATTTGTGTATAGTTTTTCACTTCGACTGAGGCAGTTGTTTTGAAACTGAATTTGTTCAGTCCGTGCGGTTTTGGCATTGACTGTGACCCAGATGTGTGGTTTTTTGTTTGAATTCGTCTTTGGTTGATGCGAGTGTGCATTCGTCTAACTCTGTGTGTGTGTGTTTTTGTGTGTGTGTGTGTGTGTGTATCTCAGGCTGCTGTTGTGGTGGTGTTTAACTTCGCCATGGTGTTGCTCATCTTCCCCGCTATACTAAGCATGGACCTGTACCGCAGAGAGGACCGCCGCTTTGACATCTTCTGCTGCTTCGTCAGGTGACACATACACAGACACACATTCATAATCCACTGTCACTTCCATGCCATCCCTCCATTAATCTCTCGTTGCTCCAAGACATTGTGGTATTGCTTGGAAATTCTCATTAGCTCCAGCTGCAGGGGCTTCATTTCAACAGCGTGCATTAAAGCAGAGCTGCACAACTACACAGCAAGTAACATTTGTTGTGAGTTGGGGTGGAACAGTTACCAGTTTCAGTGATATACTGCAGTGTAAAACCCAAGAACAATCATACGTTTCAAATTTAACAAAATCTTTTTAAAAAGTCACTTACGGTATTGAAAATGAAAAGTTTTATAAAGCTGTCGGATATCACAATGACAAAATGAGAAGCAATTCATTTTTATTAAAATACTGTGCCTCTGACTGGATGTGACACAAGTACAGACTTTTTACTTTTTATTGGATGTTTAAACAGAAATCAAACTTCTCCTTTAAGCACATAGGAAAATACAAATTATAAAAGCACCATTCAGGATTGTGCAAAATAAAAAGAAATGAAATACTAACAGCTACTTACATCAGATCTGCATTTTTCGTGCACTGTAAGGCTGAGAAACAGTCAGCATTACCTCAACAGCTTTTTCAATAAAGACTGTGCATATATTTATTTTTAATTAGGCACACAAGAATGAATGCATATTTTTGTTTATGTATTTATTTATTTTTGCTTAGTTATCAAATATGTTTGTTGTGACAGTAGCCATTACTGCTTTGCACACTTAATATACAATGCTAGGCATGAGAACATTCCTAAACTCTGTCATCGCCGCTCTAGTGACATGTTTATTGTGTAAACGATATGGCAATAACAAAAAAAAATGATTTATCATACAACCCTAGTTGGAAGAAAAAACCTATCAGTGCAGCGTCTTGCAAGTCATGCACCAGCAAGATGCGTGTTTATAGTTATGTTATGAGCTGTAAACCGTAGTAGTGCTGGTGATAATTTCATATTTATTTCAATAGCTGCTTTTTCCTGTTACAAGCAAATTCATGAGGGTTGGTAAAAAGTCTGTCAATATAGTACATGTGGGGAAATGATTTCAGTGTATATTAGTGCTTTTTCTAGGTTTTAGTTAAAGATGTAATGATACACAGTGGTGTCTCGATACAGTACATTTTGTGATACAGCAAAAAAAAGGAATGCCTTAATATGTGCGTTGTGTTCATATGTTAATATGTTGACATTTGCATCATGCACACAGCTTAAATGCTTGCACACTAAGGGTTTAACAGTGCACCTGTTTTCAGGTTTGTTGTGATTCTAAAGTCAAGAAATGATTCCATTTTCATTATTTTGTATGTTAAAATGTCTTAACTTTTAGCAAATCTGCTTATAAACTTCACAGATAGGTGATAACTTTTTTGATGCCTGCCACACCATCCTGTAACAATAAGACCCCGTAAAATCACAGCCGTACAATTTAAGCAATATTTATTTTTCTGACATCTGATAAGCTGGAGCAAACAAAGTAGTATTTTAAAATTACTATTGAAACTATGAATCCAGTCATTTTTATTCAACATTTTATATGCTATGCTACAGTAAATCCAATTAAACAGGACTACTTATGCTCTTTTTCAATAAACAAGCAGTTGGGAAGTGTTTGTACTGATGATATCCACAATGTGCTCAGAAAAGCATTGTTTAATGAAAAGCAGAAAAGCGTTGTTGTGTAATTTATTACAATATGATAAATACTGTCATATTGCTCAGCTCTGTTTCCACAACAGATGATAAATGTGAGACCCTCAGAAGAAGCCAAGCGGCATATAAGCGATATAGTTATAGCTTTTTATATAGTTTCAAATTTGAAATATTTCAAATTTAAAATAGTTACAGCCTTAATTTCAGTTATACTGTGATAGAAAAGCTTATTTTTGGACACTGAAATCATAGAAAGAAATCATCATACCGTGTAATACCTTATTTTGCATTAAAATAGTCATACTGTGTAATACTTTTATTTTGCGTTATTTTTTGCATGTGTTGTTGCTTGAGGTGTTTGTGTGGGTGCACAGTATACGTGTGGGTTATTTTACGGGTTATTGCTTCATGCCATTTCAAGGTGTCATAATCTTCAGCGTGTGTGTATTTGTGTGGTTATCTACGTCTGGGGCCCTCACGGAGGGCATGCTTTTGGCTTTTTCTTCATGCCGCTTTAACATTCTTTGTGTGTCCTGAGGGAGGGAAAGCAAGAGAGAGAGACTCTTAAGCTTATGCACGCACTATATTCTCTTCGTCATGGTCCCAAACTCATGCAGGAAATTGAACCTGAAGCCTCAACATTCACCATGGCTGAAAAGCTTGCCTCCCAGTCAGTAACATTAGCTAGTTTCCGCCTTTTAATTGCTCCCGACTGGCATTTGATTGCCATCAGTTTTGCATACATTTGTACAACTGCTCAGAAGTACCAATCGGAAACACCAGCAAAAAGCTCCCATGCAAAAGTAGATAAGGGGAATACAGATGTGCTTTCCAGAAGGCATGAAATGGCACAGACACATACATATCTTATGAGACTGCATTCTCCCGAGCCCTCCATGCAACAATATAACATTGCGTTGTATAAATAATAAATATTGCATTGTTTGGCTCTGCTGTTTATCTTACCCTCTCTCTGTCTCTCTCCTCTGCAGTCCGTGCGCTAACCGGGTCATCCAGCTGGAGCCCCAGGCAGCATACGGTGACCCATCAAGCGAGGCGGGCCACTACAGCCCCCCTCCATCCTACAGCAGCCACGGCTTCTCCCAGCAGACGCAAATCACCATGCAGTCCACAGTGCAGCTACGCACGGAGTACGACCCACGCACGCAGGCCTATTACACGACAGCCGAGCCACGCTCACGCATCTCCGTCCAGCCTTTCCCCCCAACCACCACCAATGTCAACCACCATAATAACAACAACAGCTGGGCTGGCGCCGGGCCCGGGGTCACGCGGGGAAACCCAGCGGCCGACACAGCGTCTTGCCGGAGCACGGAGGGCGCCAGCTCCACCCGGGACCTCCTGTCCCACAGTGGGGAGACAGGGCCGGGCTGTGCAGAGCCGGCCTGCTCCCGCTGGACCTTTGCCTCCTTCGCCGAGAAGCACTATGCACCTTTCTTGCTGCAGCCCACCACAAAGGTAATAGAGTTGGGGTGGGTGATATGACTATATGTTATTGTGATAAATTACATCACTATATGCTTTCCTGAGCTTCCCTAAAGGTATCCTCAGTATTTATAGACCTCTGGCCAGTAAGAGTGTAAACAACAATCAGTGGTGTGACAATTAACCATATTGGTTATTTAAAAAATAGTGACACAGATTTTTGTTGTCAGTATGCCTTTACTAAAAAGCAACTTGGTTCCATAAATAGAATTAGAATGCTCTTTAATGTTTATGTTTAATGCAGTCATTCCAACAGATTGCAGTACAATATAGCACTCATTAGGAGTGACATTACTTCTGTCATTTCATTGCTCCATAGTTGCACCATATTGTTTTGTTTCACAAACAGAACCTTGAATGATGGGCAGAAAGAGAGAAACTGAAGAACGCCTTATATTTAGATAAACTGATCATTCGTTTAGGTTGCCGATTGTAGAAATAACCATTAGTTGTAGCCCCTGTTTTGTTTGAACTCCATTCAGAATGTCCTTTTTCCCCTTAACAACATGCATGAGATCGTTCTGCTGCCTTTGATTACCTCAATCAAGCGTGCTAGAGTAGAAAATGTGGACCAAAAATACAATAGAATATCTGAATAGACCAAAAATGTGATCTGGCTGGGGGGGTCTCTTAAGGGAGCTGTCTTGGCCGTCATTGAAAATGGACATACTAAGACTCAGCTTACTTTGCCAGGTTGGAGAGGGACAGAGGGAGAGAGGTGAATGGAAAGCAGCTGAAGTTTTTAGCACTTGTGCAACTGTTCTCTGAGTCAGACCCTTCTACAAAAACCGCAAACACCTTTTGAGTCAGAGGGCCAGTCATAAAGGCGCAGTGAGAGCCACAGCTCTGATTACAGCCAAATCTTGACTCATCCATCTCTCTGTATGTGTATGTGTGTGGTCCCAGGCGGTGGTGATTCTCCTCTTCTTGGCCCTGCTGGGCATCAGCCTGTATGGGACCACCTGCGTGCGAGATGGTCTGGAGCTGACGGACATCGTGCCGCGGGAGACGGCCGAGTACGACTTCCTGGGTGCTCAGTTTCAGTACTTCTCCTTCTACAACATGTACGTGGTGACGCAGCAGGCAGACTACGCCCAGGCCCAGCCGCTACTCTATGAGATGCACCAGCGCTTTGGCGCAGTCAAGTACATCCTTCGTGAGGACAACGGCCAGCTGCCCCTCATGTGGCTGCACTACTTCCGTGACTGGCTGCAAGGTAGTACACACAAAGCTCAATTTCAGCAATAGTGCTCAAAAATAGTCCCCTTACCTGTGTGGTTTTAACTGCACCTTAACACTCCCAAATTAGTGCTTTGTAATTATTGCGGGTGTAAAAATGCGTTAATGTATAATGATGACCCAACCTGATGTTGACGATTCAAATGCATCAATTTTAGAGTGATAGAAATAATAAGATTATTTCTATGATTATATTATTATGATTACATAATGATTATAATTATGATAGTATTCACCAATGTATTCACTCATTCTTTTGTCCAAAATCAAATTCTCTGGCTTTTCAAATGTAAGATTCTGTATTGCCTGTTTAATAATTGTACCAAAACAACTGAATCATGGGAAAATTTTAATCAGACCCTGTCAGAGAAAAAAATAGAAATCAGTGATGCATTGAAATGAAAGTTCTCGATTGCAACAAAAACTGGCTGTCCAAGGCAACAAATTCTATTATTTTTTAACTTTTACTTAAACTTTACACTTTGGGCTTTGTGACTTTTATTTATTTCTTTTTTTTTTTCAAATTTCAAAAATGGAGTATACAGATGGCGTCTAAGTGCTAGCTGGGACTTTCCTTTTGGCTTCTTATCTGCTATATTCTGAATAATGAGTAGGATGTCTTGTTTCCAAGTGTTGTTGAACCTGTAGTGAAGATGTTCTTGAGTGTTGTCTTAATACTTGGTATTAACAGTGATTATAAATTGCTTGTCGGATGTCCCTAGTGGAAACCTTAAAGTAGTTGCACACGGCCAAAGTTTTCACTGTTGATCTACTGCAACTGTTCAAATGTGAAAGCAGGGTGCAAACTGCATTTAAAATCACTGTGTTGCATTTTCATTACCGTTAAAATTATTTGTAAAGTCTTTGATTTTGACAGTTCATTGTACTGTTTAATCTTTGCTTTTTCTGGTAAAATTTTTGGCCTTATTTCTCTTCCAGCTGAAAAACGGTCACTTTTGACCACAGGCTGAATTTCCATGCATCCTTATTAGTAATTATTCACTAGTGGTATCCACAGTGTTTGTTCGTACTCTTGGCTGTCAGGTGCTGTTGGCTGCTTGACTGTTGTCAGTGTAATGCACAGCTGCGATTATTCACTGTGTAAATGCCTTAAGGTCATCACTTAATTTTTCTTAGATAACTGACAGCCCAGACTGCAGACATTATCTCACTTTGTTAGTGTGTGTGTGTGTGTGTGTGTGTGTGTGTGTGTGAGAAAAAGAGAGCGTCTTTTGAAGAGATCCCTCCTTCATTCTGCCATCATTAGCTCTCATCTGTTTTTCACAAATATCAATCACCCTCCAAATCCTCAAATCCATGACACATTTAATGGCTTACCAAGACAGATTAAGATTTCAGAGAGAGGGAGAGAGCGGAAGAGCAAGAGAGGAGGAGAGAGACAAAAATAGGAGAGCGAGAGTGAAAAATAGGGGATTGTCGATTAAGGAGAAAGGAAAAATGGCAGGAATTGAGAAGTGAGCCAGATGCACTCTCCGAAAAAATCTTAAATTAAATTAAATTGTCACCCTCTTTAGTTAGAGAACATTATTGCACCATATTATGTTGAATTTATATATTTTTAAGTTTCATTGACTCCATATGCCTTGTCCTGACTCCAGGCTTTTTATTTTATTTTTCTAATTTACATTAGATTTACATAACTAAGTTATGAAAATATGCACTTTCCTCTGGGAAAGTGAACATAGTGTACCTTTAAAACTCATTGAAGGTACACTACTAGACGTTAAATGAAAATTCCACAAACTTTTCCACAACATTTTACATAATTCATTGGTTGAGATGTAAACAAAGTCAGTCAGAGCAGTATCATATGAGGTGGTTCAAAGAGAAGCTTAATGACTCAGATTTCTTTACAGTGGTGGTGATAGGAACCAGAGGTCATGATGTCTACAATGCAACCAGTCAACCTACACATGTCTTGAGGTTTTATGTAATGCTGATGATGTTACAGTAGCTGTAAATTTGACAAAATAAGTTTTCTTTAGGGACTATTTTGCCTTACAACGCCCTGCATGTACCTCTCCACCGTGAATGGATTAAAAAAAATACAATTTAGGCCAAACCCTGATCAACTACCCCAAAGTAGTGCCTGAGACCTCAGGAAACACATTCATAACCATTTCATGTAATAACTTTCTGTGAGCTTTTAGAGGCGGATGTCCGGTTCCTCTCACCATCACTGTGAACTATTCTGACACTGCTAGTTTCTCTAGAGCTGAGTATTTCACATCAAACCAATCTCAATGACTTTATTTGCATCTTAACCTTTTACTTCTGCGTACATATTGAAAAATAGATGGAATTCCTCTTTAAGGACAATGGTGTATATTTTGATGATACATTTACATTGTTTGTATGTTTGTGAACAAAAATATACCTCAACAGTACCTTTTCCAACAGTGTATTGAGAGGAAAAGTGAGAGAAGAAAGGACAACAGAGGGAGAGAGTCAGAGGGAGAGAGAGATGGAGAGATAGAGGGCATGTCCCTACAGCTGCTGTGCTTTGTGAAAATGTTCCCAGACGCTCTTTGCAGCCACATTGTGTGCATGTGTGTGTGTGTGTGTGTGTATGTCTGTCTGGCTTTTAGAATTCCAGGTAATCCTAGGTGGGACGCATTCAAAGCCGTACCCCATTCTATTTTCCTTTCTCTCTTTTATTCTCTCTTTCTGTAAAGCCCTATGAGTCAGTGTCTCTGTGATAATAGCATACCTGCCTGTAAAGCCTGGGCTGTTTGCTCAGAGCCTGACTGGCATCGCGCCTTTTAGCTTCATCGTCCATAAAGTCAAACATCATTCATGGTTTTGATTCCCCACTTTATGGTCTCTCTGCTGAACTGTTTTATTCGAGCCCGTGTTTCCATTGGGTGTATGGGCGATGGGTGCGTGCGTGTGTATGTCTGTGTGTGTGCTGTGTGAAGGCTGTGCCAAATAGGGTGGAGAGAGCTGTCTTTAATATTGCGGTTTGAAATGGCTCGACAAATTTTACACAGACAGTGAGGCGAGGGAGAGAACGAAAACAATGTGTCCCAGAAATGGGCCACTGCCGATGGGGGGAAGAAGAGGAGGGAGGGCTGGGGAAAGACAGAGAAAGAGAAGGAGAGGAGGAGTACAGTAAGGAGGAGAGAGAAAAAGGTAAGGCGAGGTAGAAGTAGGGCTGCATGAATGGATCAGGGCAAGCCCTCCAAAGCCTTACTCAAAGAACAAGAGGAGTTTAGAGAATCTGGGAAGTCTCTGGGCAGTCACGCAGTGTCATTTAACTCCCAGCACACCCAGCCCGCTTTCTTTCCCTTCCAGCTCTAACAAACGAGATTCAGGGACACCTAGAAAGACATTTTGGATTCAATGTGGTTCAGTTCAGCTTTATTATAATTATGCCAAAAGCTTTGACACTGTTCTTTTTCCATGCATAGTGCAGACAACCATGCAAAAAGTGCAGGACAGGATGGTATAGATTCATGCTAATAGACAAATTGTAGGGCAGTATACAGAGTGCAGTGCAACACAGGACAGTACAAATAGCAGACATTATGAACGATATATACAAAGAGTATAATACCAAAACTACATGGAGATATATGTTGCAAAAGCTTGCAATAACAAAAGCATAATGTAACTCAAAATTGTTTCTTCCTTATAGTTCATTGAAATAAATGTAAAAATCCTCTCAAAATTGCGTGTTATCATTTTTCCTAACCGCATTTGTATTCATAAACAGAAGAGTTTCAGCAGGCTAGCGATGTCCTCATAAAAATTAGAGAAAGAGTCACTTTTCTTTACCTAATGGACTAGATTCTCCCTGTTTTGGCTAGTTCAACCATGATATGATGAAAGGTATTTGGCTTAACTGCAGCATTTAAGGTGGACCCCAGCGCACTGTGAAATAACATCAAAAACAGAAACAGAGCATCCATCAACCACTGAGCTCTATCACTCACTTCTGGTGTGAACAGCTTTATAAATCACAATGGGAGTGTTTTGGTTTGTCATTGTCATTTGCTTTGGTTGTCGTTGTAGTTCTTTTTAGCAGGCTTATTACTTGTAATAAAGTTGTGGCAGTTGCTTTTTTAACAGGTGGTTGTCGCTGCTATGTTACAGACTGTGTTGCATAACTAAATTGATTAGTTTGGAGTGCCATATCGGAATATATTGGCACTCATAGAATGCCTCTCAGGCAATCACATTCCAAGGTCAGAGCTGCCTGTGGTGTAATTTATTATGATTGCAATTTGATTCAAAATTATTGTTATACGTGTGTAACATGACATGTAATTAAAGTCAACCTGAAATTGAAATCGACCATTTATACCTGGTTAGTTTGTGTCCCTGGTCATAGTAACCATGATTTAATCCATGTTTGTCCACTTATAAAATGTCTTCTGATTTTTGTTTACATCACAGTGCATGAGTGAGCGGGGAAAATGTAAATCAATAATATCATGTGTTACCTCATTCCCACCAGCCCCACCAACTGTCAAGCAACAGAGCTCAGCTAGGTCAGGGACCCTCCCTAATACCTTGTTCTACTCAGAGAGTAATAATTCTAGACCTCTAAGGGTTAAAAAGTATAGATAACTTGCTAGTAGTTTTAAGTTGCATTCTGAGTTGTTGTTGTTGTTGTTGTGTTTGTGCAGGTCTGCAGGAGGCTTTTGATAAGGACTGGGAAGCGGGCAGGATCACTCAGGGGAACTACAAGAACGGCTCTGATGACGGAGTCCTGGCCTACAAGCTCCTGGTGCAGACCGGCCGCAGAGACAAGCCCATCAACTACAACCTGGTGAGCAGTTAACCAATCAAAAACCAGCTACTTCTCCATTCCCCCTGTAGGCTCAACCTATAGAGTAAAGAGGGAACCGCCCCTAGATATCCAGGCCACGCTGCGGGTTTTCAAAACGCGGTGGAACTTTTCAGCAGCCGCCCGGACTGGACCCCCATTCATCCGTGTCTCTTTAACTGGAGCATTACTTTCCACAAGAAGCGCTGACAGCATGAAAGCACCTCTCCCCACTGAGCTTTAGAGAGAAAATAAAACTCCTATATATCTGTCTTTATGGTGCAGCATGTGGCTGTGCGTGGAGAGGAACTCCAGAGGAACATAAGACCATACCGCTACCCTGAGCATATTTCGCACATAAGACTGCAACTTAGAAATCCTATAAGTTTTAAACTGTGCTCAGTAGAATCAGTTGGGGTATTTACATCCTATATGTCGCATCTGTACACATGGTGAGGGTGTTTGTACTCTAGCTGTTTGAATAGTGTTTAGCATATCCTGTCCTTCTCCCAATGGTCTATGTGATTTAGAACCATCTGTGCTGGATGTTCGATGATGGGTTGCATATATTATTGCATAGACCAGTTCCCAAACTTTTTACAGCCCCGTTCCCCCTCAGACATTAAACTTCCTGCTGCGTATCCTCTCTCTGTCACACATATACACACTTATATTGCATTATGTATGTAAGACAGTTAGATGTCTTAAATCAATTCACCATAACACGTTATGATGTGATGACACAACACACCAGATGTACACTCTTGAAAAAGGTACTAAAGTGTCACTGGGGTAGTACTCTCAAGGGTCCGTCTTCAGGACATTGAGGGTACATTGTTTGTACCTTTTACCTTGCTGAAAGAAGTTTCTGTGCTACTGTATTGTAGGTGTGGGTCAGTCCCGGTCCTGTCAAAGCTCAGGGTGGCAGAGCATTGAACTTGCTTCTTTCTTTGTAATCATAAAGGCTGCAGGTAACATAGATATGTGTGAGAGAGTGTCCACAGCTGTAAGTTAAACACTAAGTGACAAAATATTCACTAACCTGAGCCACATATTGCATATATCACAGTAGATAACATCCTCCGCTCAGAATTTAACAGCACTACAAACACATAAACAAAAAGCGGAGCAATGTTCACACTAGCTACAAACAAATAACTCACTAAAACTGCACTCTGCAAAAGTGAAACCAATCAAGTACTTGACTTACAAGCATCATACAGGCCTTAAGAACAGTTAGTATAGGATACACACTTTAATCATGCACACAGCAGCGCATAATAAACTGAATTAACTCCACGGTTGTTTCTCCTGAATGTTCAGAAGTGGCAGGAGTGATAAAATGATTTGTGATAAAAGAGTAAAATACCAAACTATTAGAGCATGAGTTTGCCATGTGCTTGAAGCTCTTTGTATCGCTTCTATCAGAAGTACCTGTGTAATTGTGCAGCCGGCTTATTAAATAAAATTAAATAAAGATTAAAGCAGGAATGTTTTTGACATACCCCCAGTGTCATTCAGCGTAACCCTGGGGGTATGCATACTTCAGTTTGGGAACCACTGGCATAGACAAAGCAAATATTTTTGCTTTTAGTCCAAGTGTTGGACTTATGAATGCCTATTTCTCTCTATATGTCTCTCCTTCCCTCTTTCTCTCTATCTTCAGTTCTCTCTCTCTCTTTCACGCTGATTGCTTTACCGAGCGCAGGAATTTAAAGCCCTCGATGGGGCCACAACCTGCCTCTGAAAAAGCAATTAGCCCTTCATTTAAACCATTTTGTCCCTCTCGCTCGGCGCAGGCATGCAATCCAACCTATAAGAGGCAGCGTAGGCTCCTACATCATCGGACGTTTCCCTTCCCGCATACACACACTTACGCACAGCACAACACACACAGAGGCATTAAATACAACAGGTTAACACATTTATAATGCTTCCAGTCACTGCTCAGCATGAAATAGCAGGCAAGAGGGAAATGTAAACAGGAGATGTCAAGAGACCCTGATATGCCGGAGGGTCTGAAGGGGTGGGTGGGGAGGGGTCGAGAGGGGCAATTGAGCAGACACTCTTGCGCACTCTCCCGTCTGTCTGTTGACTCCTCTGCAAAACACAGGCTGGAACAGTCCAGTTTTTTTCTCCTTTTCGAGTGCGATTGTTGTGCTGAGCGCTCACCAGAGAAGCAGAGGGGGTAGGAAAAAAAAAGAAAAGGCAGCCGGCCTGTGTTGGTGTGCGGCCCCGTGATGTCATTTCCTGTGCTTGTGAGGGAAGAGGGGCGGCAGCCGGCCAGAAGGCCGCCGGCCTCGCACTGTGGGCTTCCCGTGACAGCTTGAAGACATACAGTTGTTGCGTATCCTGCTGCTTAATTCAATCCAGATCTTTGGAATCCAAGTTCACTTTTTTTCCTCCCCCCCCCCAACCATCCCCCCCCATCTCTCTTCTTCTCTTCTATCGGAACTGCTGCCATGTCCTCTTTGAGTGGACAGAGCAGTTGTGCTCTTTTTTAGTTGGTAGCTTTATTTCAGCCTAATTCATCTAAATAATGCATAATAATGCAGATAAAAATTATGATTTATTAGTTTTCTTTTCCTTCTGTTTTAAGGGTATGTTTTAGTTTTAATTTCTATATTTTAATGTATATTTTAAAATTGTAATTGATATTTTTTTTCTATTATGCTTCAAGTAAAAATTTCCAAAATTGTTCAAATTTGCCCTAAAACTGTTCTTACTGTGATTTTTAAAAATTATATGGAACATTTTTCATTCATCTTAAAATATGGTGTAGGGATTTTTTGAAAATTATTTTTTGCATCTTGCGCTTTCGTAAAATGTCTTAAGTCATTTTATTATGGCTATCAGGAGCCCCTTTTCCATCCTCCAGGCAGGAACCGTCTGAGGCGCCGGGCATTCTAAGTATCCATAGGGGTCAGGAGAAGCAAGTGTTAGCAACATTTGTACAGATGTTGTGTTATTTTTATAGCTCTCCTCCATTTGCTGGGTGGCATTTCCTCCTGTGTTAACAGCGAGGTTAACTGCACACAGGCGCGCCCAGGGACTCCGGCCAATTTTTTTATTGTTACGCTAACTCAAGCAAATTTCTCTCTCTCCCTCTCTCCACCCCCACCCACCATATATATACACACACATGCCGAGCCAACCCACCTCCTGACTGAGAAACTGTGGATTTATTGTCCTGAAAAGTACGTATGGCACAGAGCATCATGCCGTAATGGTTTTACCTTCTCAGGAGGTGGCTGACTGGGGCCCCCTGTAAGGAGGGAGGAAGAAAAGTAGAGATTAGTTTGGTGCTGGTGGGCATTCTTAACCTATATAAAACGAAGCACACAGATTCATTTGTTTGCCTCACATTTCATTATTTCTCTATTGAAAATGTCAGTGTTTACATAGTTCTTAGTACTGTGCAATTGTAAACGTCTGGATAATTGTAAAGTGCTATACAAATATAATGTATATTATTAACAGTGAATGAATCTTTGACACCAGTGTGATTCGATTACGATTCTTTTGGAAGCACTGCATGAAATTTTACCTTGATTTGATTTGGCTATATTGGTCTGATTCAGAATTTTGTTTAATGTATGCTGTACACTGTAACTGTCACGCAGAAGTATTTCCATTTTTGTCGATTTTTACTTTTTGGCACAATTGGAAAATTCTAGTTCTCCTTTCCATGTACTAGAATTTCCTCATGGACTAATAGAAATGGTCCAGTATAACTTGGAAAAATATTGTTACATTAGCATCCATTACAAGTTAATAGTGTTTTGTTTCTTTCTCCTGTCAAGTTAACATTTTGAAAAGGTTTTGTTCCGACAATGATGATACATACTAATGTAACTGGAAGAGTCGTCTATGTAGAAGACATCAAGTAATAACAACATGTGGAATAAAACAATAAACCAAACTTTTATTACCTTGACAAAAATCCAGTGTACATATTGTATATCATTATACATTGTAAAATAACTTATCTGTTACAGAAGTAGTGCTTTTTTGAGTTGGTTTTAAAACGGTTTCGTGATGCTGTTTTATCTCTTAAGCATGAGTAATTTCTTTTCTGCTGTTTTTATATTGAAGTCACTTATGTCCTCTTCACCCCTCCAGCTCACCAAACATAGACTGGTGGATGCAGATGGGATCATCTACCCCAGTGCCTTCTACATCTACTTGACCGCCTGGGTCAGCAATGACCCGGTCGCCTACGCTGCCTCTCAGGCCAACATCCGTCCTCATCCTCCAGAGTGGATCCATGACCGCACCGATTCCATCCCCATCAACAGCTTCACCAGTCAGTACACATTATGATTCAATACTGTCTGTGCTGGCACTGGACCAGTGAATGTGTTTAATCATTATGAGAAATTTAGAGTTGTTTGTATTATTGTCTTTTAGCTGTACATGTTAAATGTAATTACTATGTACATAATTATATAATTAACTGGATCTTTAATTATTCTTTTATTATATACTTAGTTCATTACATCATTAATAACAATTGTTCGTGCTTTTTTCTTTTTCTTTTTTTCAAAATCATAGCCTTTGTTTTTTCTTTCCATAAAGACTTTATATATAAAAATAACTTTTCACCAAATTCAGATCATAATAATATCCTCCTCTTCTAGACAGCAAAGCTAGACAGCAGTATTACTGTATTGGAGACTTGGGTCAAGTACTGAAAGATATATATTATTAAAGTATTAGGAAATATTTTTCACTGTAATGTTATAAGTACGTGTGCGTATATATATATGTGTGTGTCTGTGTGTGTATATATATATATGTGTGTGTACTACAGGCTTTGATTTTCAACATTTCCATATACTAAAAAGTGAAACATGAGTTTTGGATGGAAGGATGAGAAAAGATTCCCATCCTTGGAATATTGTAATATTTCATTCCAGTTCATTCTAGCATTGAGAATTTCAAATGTATATATTATATTATGTGGAAGTTCTTTAAACTCAAAAAATGTTTTATATCTCATCTTTAAAGAGCCGTTCACTGAAAAGTCCTTCTGGGAACCAAACGTAGCTCTTTATGGCATCGCTCCAGAAAACCCCTTTTGGCACCTTTATTTGTGACTTGAGGACTGCGAGACTCGCCTCGGGTTTGTAGGTTAACTGAGAGCTGCAGTGTTAGTGTAGTAGAGTGGGGATGTGGGTAGCGGGTGGGCTGTGCACAGGGGGTGCTCAGGAGTACATGATTGGATAACAAGCCGAGACGGCTTCTCCATGTCGGAGCCCCTGCAGCACGGCTGGCTGCCGTCCAACTCCCGTCTTAATGGAAATTTATAGTGGAGATTATAATGGGGCAAAACCATGTTTTAGCAAGTGGTCCTGCATGACCCTGTGCGGAACACACACTAACCTACTCCCCAGACACACACTCGCACACACCTCCACGAGAGGTAGTTATTCTGGGTCACATTCTTGCGATTTTATTTGTGGTTTTAAGACCGCCACTTATCCAAGTCCGGCAGTAGCGGTGATGAGTCATCGGTGGGGAAGCTGATGAAAGCTCTGCTGTGGAGAGAAGCTTCAGTGACAGGTGATAGGGCTAAGTGTCAGGACAAATCCTCTTCATTGTTTTCAGACACGTATGAGGAGTCTCGGCCTTGGCTGTGAATCAAAGAATAAGTGTTTATCATGCTAAAGGACGTGTGCTGCATATGGGCCGTCATTGTTGGGCATGCTGAGATGTGGTTAGCAGAGCTCTGTGTGATAGACAGGGTGTACGACTGTGTGTTCTGAGGAGTAGTGGAGGGGGTTGATTTTGACAGCGTAATTACAGCAGATCACTGTCAGGGATGACAGTCAGCTGCATGTTGAGATTTGATAGCTGCTAATTTGCCCCCCTTTTCCCCCCCAAGGCTGTGAGGAAACCATTGTGTTAAAAAGCTGTCACCCCCGAAATATAGCTTTTTTGGACTGTTCATTGAGTGCAGAGGTACACTGTAAAAAACTGGTGTAAAATTGCTGCAGTAATTTATTGTTTTCGGTAAATGCAACAGATTATTATGCGATAGGGGTACCTATTCCTGGTCCTGGATATCTACCACCCTGGAGAGTTCAGATCCAGCGCACCTGGAGTTTATATTCAGATGCCCCTTAAGGATTACCTGGATCAGGCATGCTAGATTAGGGGTGGAGCTAAACTCTCCAAGTGGTAGATCTCCAAGATCAAGACCCCTGCTATAAGAAAAGGTGCATTCTAGAAGAAACAAGTCAACTTTTGTGTCAAAGAAGATAAATAGTGGGATTTTACAGTATTTGGTTTTCATTTGCCAAGCATATTGGGAAACTGACAAGTACTTTGTGCTGTCTTGAGTGGGGCTGAATGAATTTCTTACCAACACTGTGGCTGTGATTATTTTCTTTAAATTACATTCCCAGAAGACTAGAATATCCACTTTTTCTATAATGTGTCCAGTTACTGCCAGTTGTGGTTGTGTTGGATGTTTTGTTGCTCAGAGGTCTCCACCCCTCTTCCTGCAGATCTGTTTTCCTGCAGAGTTTAGTTCCAACCTGATCTGACACCCGCCTCCTTACCTGGTAATGCATCTGTTCCAGCCAGTCAAGGATTTCTGAAGAAGTTAATTAGCAGGACCAAGTGCAGCAGTGCAGTGGTTGGAACTAGAATCTGCAGGAACGTAGATTCGTGACTCCTGGTCTAAAGACTTTTACACACTGAGTGTGATTTATTCGTTCAATTTCTTTGGACAACAGTAAATTCTTCAAATGTGTGTATTACTGATGATATTTTCTGCGCCAAACGTGATTTTTCAAACAGCAAAAGTGCAACATTATTTTGTTGGCCCCTTGTTTGATTTTTGCGAACTTGCCTGCGACATCAACTCACTGACCAAACACTGTCGATGGCATGATGACAATTAAGATGATGAATTAGCTGAAACTGCAACATCCTGTAACTGTCACAGCCCATTTTGTGAGAAGCAATTTTCTTTTGCATTTTCTTGTCAGTTTTTTTTCCCTGTTGCATTTGTTGTGTAACAAGTTTTGTGTTATATTAAATTTCCCACTTAAAACATATGACAACATGTAAGGGCCAAAATTAAAATAACAGTTCTTACAGTTTGACCAATGGACTCTTTCAAATTGCAACTCTCTCTGATTGTTTTAGTGATGGGGTGGAGCTTCCAAACATTTCTTGAGGTTTTGTTAGTTTGAAGATACATTTGATTGCACTTGACATGTTTTGGTATTCCAACCATGATGATGTTTTGTGTTTCAGTCAACCCCTTAAATGGCCAGGGCCCACCGGCGATCCCAAAAGTTTTATTACACACTTCTATAACCTAAGAATAGGTCAACGAGTTTGCATTGAAGTCCCTGTAGTTACTGACTAATGAGTCTTTGTATGTATTAAGCCTGGGATTTTAAGGAGTTAAATAGTTCATCCCATGAAGTCACATTCATTCAGACGACAAGTTACTGCTTTCTTTGTCGTCTTTATGACTCACTGTAATGTGATGTTCAGTTTATGGCACGACCGATAAACATTACTACACTGTTGAAAATGCATACTGTCTGTATGAACACTGAAACATTTGCTATCAAAAGATAGCTAGATGGATTCGTTAGCTGTGTTATCCTGTGTCTCTAGATGTTGTACTGCATAATGTAGCAAATCTGAGGGTCCTTAGAGAGCTCTGGGGGCACATTATAGCACATATGAGTTGTACGTTAGAAATATAGCAAAGAATGGTAATTTTATAGAAAAAAGTATGAATGCTAAAAATAGTAATTCACTGAAGAAATTGCCAGTTAATTACAATAATTTAGTAATTATAGTAGTTATACACTAAAAAGGTTTTACGGTGTAGTGAAAAAAAAGTGAAGCTTGCCTCAGTTTGGCCAAAGTATGGCATCGTAGATGGCTTGTTCTGTTCTCTAATATGATACTTTTGTCATGCTATTTTGCTAAAATCACAGAAAGAATAAATTTAATGTATACATCAGTTAAAAAAATGATGGGAATGATAACATGAAGGGATAACACTTTATTTTGATACTATGTGGAGGCTTTGTAAATGCTCACCTGTGGTGGAAAATACCTGATTATAAGAACAAATAGAACAATAATTAAACAAATTCACAGTAGAAAAAGTTGGTAGCTTCAGAGACTAAAGGCACTGGTATTATTTTTCCTTGCAGTTCCTGCCGCAGAGCCCATCGAATATGCACAGTTTCCCTTCTACCTCAATGGGCTGCGCGAGACGCCCCAGTTTGTAGAGGCTATTGAGAGCGTGCGCTCCATCTGCAGCAACTACAGCCGGCAGGGTCTGCCCAGCTACCCCAACGGCTACCCATTCCTGTTCTGGGAGCAGTATGTGGGCCTGCGCCACTGGCTGCTGCTCTTCATCAGCGTGGTGCTAGCCAGCACCTTCCTGGTGTGCGCCATCTTCCTGCTCAACCCCTGGACTGCTGGGATCATCGTGAGTGCTTCTTTATGATTTTACATCTTTAAACCGCTTTACGCTGTTGTCGTGTATTGTTGTTTTACATATTTACATATTTAACAATCTCCTTACACCTTTACAACTTACTTTACTTTGACTTTTTAAAAAACATTTTTACACAACTTTACATCATTTTTTTAAAACCTTCACATTTTTGTATGATTATATTCCATATTCTACTTTAGTTCTACTTTCCAAAAAAACTGCCTTACATCACTTTACATTGTTTTATTTATACCTTCACATCTGTCCACTGCTTTACATTGTTTTTGGCATCATGATATTCTATTTTGACTTTGAGTTTTGCAAAAATTCTTTACATTTTTTTTTACACATTCACATTTTTACGCTGCTTTTTTGCACTTTTTCTACACCACTTCATTTTTATTTGTAACACGTTCACTTCTTAACACTATTTCTTTATATCTTTTGTGTATACGCTAAAGATTTTTCCTACAAATATGAGTCGTATCTTTATTACTTCTGACAGATTAAGTAGCATGTTTAGTATCATGCTATATTTAGGCCTTTAGAGGTGGAGTTTCTGCTTAAAGTCTAAGAAAATACATAGCATAGATGTTTAATAGGCTTATTGCACCAAAGGTATCTTTTCTCTGTCTATTTTCCTCTTGTTCTCCCATGAGGGAATGCCATGGATGAAAGTTGGGGAGTAATTAAAGTGCATTTTATAAGGCAAAGCGGGGAGGGGAGCAAGGCTCGGTCCAACAGAACCTGTGTTTTTACAGCCCTCTTCTGTGTTTATCTTATACTGTCAGAGCCAGTTTGTTTAGTCTGTGTGGAGCTTTTTGGGACATTTCTCTAAAATAAATGAGTGGGGGACAGAGAGGTTACCACAGCAACCACAACACTCTATGTATAAAATAGGCCTTGTGCGTGCTTTTCCTTCCTCTGTGTCTGTGTCTCTGTACATATGTGTCGGTGAGGGAGCAAGCGTACCTTGCTTTCCCACACCCCACCCCCTCCCTGCTGGCCGCCGTTTTACTACAGCTTGTGTTTTAGCCATCTAGTCTCTCAAGCCGTGTGCGACAGGACAGCCGCTTCATCCTCCTGCTTTACAGGACAGATGAAAGAGAAAGTTACTGCACCGCTTCCACTTTTACTGCCTCGCTTTTGTCCGGGGCCACCAGTGGCCCCCTTAACCCCATCCCCCCATATGTCCCCTGTTTCCGGCCCCCTCTCTCTTTCTGTCTCTCTCTCTCTCTCTCCCTCTCCTGTCCTCTCCAAAACCCTCCCCCAATCCTTCTTCAAAGGCAGCAGGGCCCCCCAGTAACATGAGCCTCATCAGCTGATTATGGCATCTACTCTACTCTTTCTAAGTACAATTTAAGCTCCACACGGAACCGTGTACGTAGTGAGGCAGCCCACTTTTAAGGTCGATATGTTTTCCAGCATTCCAAAATGCTCACCTCATTCTTCACCGGATTGAAAGCGTTGAAAGCGGTGATCTTCACCCCCGAGAAACACTGATTTAGATACATGCCAAAACCAAAATCTGTCATCTGTCACACATCTTAAAAGACAGCATGAACAGTTAATCTAAAAACTTGCTGACAGGTAGAACATTTATTTAATTTAATTGATCAATAAAATAGAATTTGAATAGAATTAAATTATTCTAACCTCTTTTGAATTGTTATTGTTATGCTGTACTAAATGCTAAGAAGATACTGAGCATTGATGTTTAATAGGCCTTTGGCTTGCTGTACTGATTAAATATTATTATTTATTTGCATAATTAATTACATAGCTATGTAATGGCTGACATTCAAATTACATTCTGTATTGACAGGTTGACAAGTCTTTTTTTCCATTTATTCTGATATCAAGAATTAAAAAATTCAAAGAATGAAAATAGAAAAATAACTTTTTAACACAAATGTAATATAGGTTGAAAGTGGATAATCCACACATTGGCTGTCTTCCCTGCTTTCAAAAAGCAACAAGTGAGAAATAATTAAACAAAACATAAGCCGTGTCAGGGTGTATACACAGTTTAATAATCATTCTAAATCATTTCAGAACAGTTTTTAATGTGTTTGGGTTTACTTTGGCAGGTGCTGGTGCTGTCTCTGATGACTGTAGAGCTGTTTGGTATGATGGGACTGATTGGAATCAAGCTGAGCGCCGTGCCTGTGGTCATCCTCATCGCTTCTGTGGGCATTGGTGTGGAGTTCACTGTCCACGTGGCCCTGGTGAGTCCCTCCCTCCCATCTATCAGTGATCCACTTGCAATTCCTAAGAGCATTGGTGTGGGTCTGGGTGTGTTCTAATGGTAGTGTGCTCCCTGCAGGCCTTCCTCACTGCTATAGGGGACAGGAACAAGCGGGCAGTGCTGGCCCTGGAGCACATGTTTGCGCCTGTGCTGGACGGAGCCTTCTCCACCCTGCTGGGAGTGCTGATGTTGGCAGGCTCTGAGTTCGACTTTATAGTTAGGTAAGGACAGATAGCCAGGATTATTCCTGAACATGTACTCCATCGCATGTATCGGAAAGTGTGCTTTGATTCTGAACAGTGCCAGTTCCATTACAGTAAACTAGCCTGTAGAAGTCTACAGTTATCACTGCCATTGTGCTTTAACATCATCATTAATTATGTAATGAAGTACATCAGTAGTTACGTAATGAACTGCATTTACATGTGATTTGCATTCTGTTTGTTTCAATGTCAAGAAATGATAGGGTGCTTTTCCTTTCTGAAAAACAAGACTGTACACACCATAACATTATATCAGATTCTAATCATAACATAATGTCTGCTATTCTGCTTACAAACACAAATGATTTAGAAGTATGTAATACACACTTTGAACAGAAGGTGAGAAATATTTAATCTAAGTTAACATAAATGTTTTTGTTAGCGATAACTGTGATTTCTACAGTTTAAAATAATACTGTTGGAGCTGCTCTGCTTGCTCTAACCATTTTAATCAGCTTCTTTCATCATCCCTACCTGATATGTAAAGCGTCAAGCTTTAGCATTTGTTTGTGCATGTGCCTGTTTTCTTCCTTGCTTCTTTAGTTTTTTTTTTATTCAATAATATCTCACTCTCCTTGTCATTGCTCTGTTTTACATTTGTATTAAGCATTATAATTAAGGTGGTAGTGTGGTGACCAAAAACTACTTAAAAGGCAAAGGTTTCTGCATTAAACGTTGCTATATTGTAATATTTTCATTATTATACGACAACAAAAACTTCCGAAAGGACTGCAGTGTTTAATGATGGAAGACGGAATGTTCTAGTCCTTTTTCAGCAGTCCATGAATGCTTGGCAACAATAGCGTACTCTGAACAAATGACTATTTTTTAGAGGAAGAATTGTTTATTGGGAATAGTATTAATTCTAACTTAGAATATTTATTGAAAAGTTTTGCATTTTATTAAATTTTATGTTGTCACTGTTTTATAGAAGCAATAAGCCACATGAGGCAAAGCGTTACAGTGATTTTGCAATAGGCGGGGGGGTTACGCACCCCTTACCTGTGATAAAATTGCACGGCCTCTCAAGGTTTGATACTTTAATAGACTAACCTGTGTGATTTCTGACACAGTATGTCATACTGTTATCTGTAAAAATGGTCAAAAGTACAGTCGTATGCAAAAGTTTGGGCGCTCTTGGTAAAATTATATTTTGTTGATTTTCTAAGCGAAAATAAGTTAACACATCCTCTATAGAGAACAGCTTTCTGCATATTTTGGCTGAATTTGACTATGTAGAACAAAATTGTCCAATTAAACTCAGCAAATAAATAGAAATTGTGCAGTAACGTTTTCAAATTGTGAATATTTAAGTATGTTCTCTGTAGAGGATGTGTTATTTTCAACAAAACATAAGTACCGGGGGTATTCAGACTTTTGCATACGACTGTACACAGCGTAGCTGAAAACAGTGCTAGGAACCGTCTTGAAGCCTGAATTTTGTCCATACTTTTGACCAAAATTGTGTAAAGTTGTTGTTTTTTTTTCCTTTCTTTCTTTTTTTACTGAACTACATCTTTAACGCTGGCATACCAGAGGTCAGCAGTGCTGGAGAGTGATGCTGTGCAGTGTAGTAGGTGCTGATATTGGAGTAAGGCAGTAGCAGTGATTGCCTTTAGAAAGGCACGGACAGCCACCCCAGCCTTCTGCTCTCAAATCACTCTGGATTTAAGTAGTGTGCCAGTGAATGAAAGTGCACACAAGTTCAGAGCACGCAGCCCCCCACCATCCCCCCACATACACACACTATCCACCTCTCTCTACAGACCGCACTGGCGCTCAGTCACTCTCACAAGCTCCCACTGAAACACAACCACTGTTTTTTCACCAAACAACACCCGCACCCCCCCACACACACAGCCCCCACCAATAAGGAAAAAAACAAAGGAAAAAAAGCAGGGGCTGTATTTATCTAGCCTTGCAGAAATAAATGTTTCCCTGACTTTCCCCTGTCAGGGCTGTGAATGTTTTGAGTCCAAACAGTTTGGGACGTGTAGCTCAGAGAGGTATGCGCGCGCTCGCTTTTCGCTGGGGAGCCGCGGCTCTGGAGCTCCGGCTAACCCACAGTCCAGGAACACTCTGGTCCACGTTTCGTTAAAGAGAACTTTCGCAGTTCACGACATAAAAGGTCTTTGTCATTTGACTCCATCTGTGGGAATAGCACTCATCTATGGAAAAATCACACTCTGAAGTAAATCACTCCTCGAGCCTCGCATTCACTCAGGGGGCATCGACCTTCTGACCGCCTCAGAGAAAGCTTCCATTTTTCAGTCCTGAACGTTTGGGCTCGTCAGTCGTTTTGATCTTTGTCGTAATGCTGAGTGGACTCGCCAAGGCACAGACACTTGTCCGGGTGTCTAATTCAAGGCAATGTTTAGTTTGGTTGAATAAATAATAAAGGTCAAAGATTCAGAGCACATCCATAAAACTTCATTTCCTCTAAAGTAAAGGTACCAGTATGTCCTCCCCTTCACCCTTTAAGTGTTAATGGCAAGAAAAAAAATTAACCCAAATGTATTTGATCTGACAAAACCTGTTTGGTTTTGGAAGTTTACTTCAGTAGTTTCTTATTGTATCTATGAGGCCAGTGTAGCTAACAAATGATAGGAGCTCCAGTGGCTGCCTAAAACCAGCACTATACTTCAAATGACCAAAGAACTCCAAATTCCAAACTACTGGCAAAGACGCTGTTGTAAATATACTTAATAAGAACTCAGTCATGAATTACACCTTGATTGGGATTGAGGTCAATGGCGAGGTCTTAATTGCAGTCAATGGCGAGGTCTCAGAATGGACGATGTGGTTAGGGTTAGGGTTAGGGTTAGGGTTAGGTTAGGGTTAGGGTTAGGGTTAGGGTTAGGGTTAGGACCAATCGTAGTCGGGGGAAGGTCTCTGATTGTACAATACTGTGATTATGACCAATTGCAGTTTGGAGGGAGGTCTCAGAATGCACGATGTGATTATGACCAATCGCAGTCAGAGGGAGGTCTCACAATGAATCACATGGTGATTAGGAGTTCTGTTCACGATTTTGGCTTCTTTATGTAGTGCAGAAACAGTGCATATGTCTAATAAATAGCCATTTGGGATTTTGGGACGTATGCACAGTTCCTTGCAAGACAAATAGTCCAAACAGTAGAAATAAATCTTCATATCTCACGATGTAGTGAGTAGGGAGCCATTTGAGATTCAGACATTTTCTTCAAAACAGTTTTTGTTTAAAGTATACTGCCAGCTTCAGTAGCACTTTGTGTGGTTCTAGCTAAATCCACTCTTATACAGTGTTGCTTCTTGGCCACATATATTTCAGCAGTTTCTCATAACATAAAATTATTTATATGATTCCAAAACTTAAAAAACTTCATACTCCTACAGATCATATCATGTTTTTAGATATGAAATATCTTTTAAAAAATTTTAAGGGAAATTTTCTGGTGCTGAAACATGTCATCTACACACTGCACCATGCCAAAACAAAGTTTAAAAATGCCCACCAGGAGAAAGTGGAAGCTTTTTATACAAGTCGAGCTTTTATTAATTCATTCAGACTCTTCGGTTCTTTATTAACCTTTTCATTGTCGTTAAATGTGTGTCATGTCATTGTCAGCTGAGGAAAATAGGTTGGTTAGCCTGAGGCAGCAGAGGGTTATGTGGTGTATATACAGTCACATGCAAGCATTTGGGCATCCCTTGTGAAATAATTTGTTGACTTTCTAAGTGAAAACGATTACACTCATCCTGCACATTTTAATGTACAGTTTAAGTTATGGGGGCAAATACAAAGAAATTGCATACTAAAATTTGCAAAAAAAATGCCCTATTTAAGGTTGTGTTATCTTATTTTCACTTAAAAAAAAAAAAAAAACTTTGTTGATTTGACCGTAAATGTTCTGACCTGTCCGTATGATTGTAAGCTTCCGTTATGTAGCCTCGTAACTCCAGTGCAAATCTAAATAAGCAAACCTCAGACACCAAAATGTCTTGCCTGACTATATTTGGGTTAAACTGTGTACCTTAGAGCAGCCACCAAGGCCTGTGAAGTCTCCTGCAGGGTCAGAAATAAAGTCATCTCACAGATGGGTACACCCAGAGCCCATCTTGTGTGGCTGTGAATAGACATTGTTTCAAGCGTGAGAGCTTGGTAGTAGAACGCTGGTGGCGGAGGCCAGCACTGCAGAGCCGCATCACTTAGAAAATGTGTCCATGAGTTTAGTCTGAGGCCCAGCTGTGCTGCATACCAGCTGGCAGGAGATTATACACACATACACACACACACACACACACACACACACACACACTCAGGCTTGTGAAAATATGTTCTAAACACACATTCATTCTCTCGCCGAACCCCACTGATGTTTCTGGCTCGATGTCACCAATTCCTCAATGGTTTGCTTTAGAGACCGTGGAGAAGCCTTTACCTTTGCGCATCCAAGCTTGGGATGGTAAAGGAGGGAGGGAGGAGAATAAGGCCCAAATCCGCCCCCCTCCCCTGAAATTGGGCAGATTCTTTAAAAAAAAGCTTCTTGTGGGTCCCTACATTTCTTTAATGAGGTAAAAGATGGCAGCTGCAATTTGAGCTGCTGCAATTTGCACAGATGCATTTCTGGCCTAGCGAAAGGAGGGAACGCTAGCCGTAATGAAGGGGGGGGATTTGTCAAGGAGATTGGGGGGGTCTTACCTGATACTCTAGAGATTTAATTAGACCAAGGGATTGTGAAAGGCAGGAAAATTTCACAGGGGCTTAGAGAGAGAGGAGAGTGAGAGAGAATGAGCTTGAGGCCAGGCAAGAGGGGCCTGTAGTTTTTCCTCCTCTCTTCCTTCTAGACTAAATTGTTTAAATTCTATACCCTTCACTTCATTTGTTTGCTTCTGCTTTCTTTCTTTCTTTCTTTCGTTCTCTCTTTTTTTTTCTTTTTCTTTCTCTTTTTTCTTTCTTTCTTTTTTTAAGAGCGAGGGAGAGAGGCCCCTGTCCCTTTGTGATTCATCTCTCTTCTCTCCTCTCTCCCAAGCCCCCTACTCCACATTCCTTCCCGCTTTGCTTTAGCCTGTGTTTGCTTGTACTCCGCTCACCCCTCGAAAAAAAAAAGGAAAAGAAAACTCTGCCTCTTTCCTTCCCCCCTTTTTTCCATGCCTTTGAATTAACCAACTAATTATGTCTCCAGCTTTTCTATGCTGCTCTCTTAAAAGACTAGCCTTCTTTGGAGACTTTTGTCTGGCACAAGGTAAAACTAGTTTTCAAACTTAATGAATTCATCCTGTATGTGTGTGTGTGTGTGTGTGGGTGTGGTGCAGGTGCTCAGGTGTGTTTTGTAAATTTGAATGTTTTCATTAAACACTTTGTGCAAATAAAGTTTTTACTAACTGCTAAAATTTTTATTTTTTCCCCAGATATTTCTTTGCTGTATTGGCCATCCTCACCGTGTTGGGGGTCCTAAATGGCCTGGTGCTGCTCCCAGTCTTATTGTCCTACTTCGGCCCTTATCCTGAGGTAAGAGGATTGCTCCTGTTGAGTCATCCTCTGTGGCACCACCGCATACCACAGACACAACTATGCAGAGCTAGCAGACAGAGACGTCCTCAGTAAACAGAGCTCAACCCTGTCTAAAAGACTCAGGCCTCTTCCCAAATCAGCCCATGCCCCCTACCCCTAACGACCTGTTCATCCTTTTCATGTCTGCTAGAGCGATCTTGAGGAAGGTCCACATCATTTTCTTAGTTGTTCTCCATTATGTTCTGTTAATTCTGATGCACACTTAGATTTAAGAGGTCTGTACGACCTGATAGTGTTTTCTAAAACCCCTAAATTGCAAAGGCCCACATTTCAGTTTCTCACACTCATAAGATTACTTCCATATTAGTTTCAGAGTCATTATGAAATAATAGTTATTACTTCATAAGCCTTAGTATTAATCACTGAATAATAAGTATGCAGTTTAGGAAAAAATAATAAAAATAATAAATGAATAAAAAACAAACATTTCCTTGTGTATTAAGGTGTCTCCAGTGGACGGGCGTAGCCGACTGCCCACTCCGTCTCCAGAGCCTTTTCCACCAGTGGTGCACTTCACCATGCGGCCCAGTCACACCACCCCCGGGACAGGCTCAGACTCCTCCGACTCAGAGTACAGCTCTAACTCCACGTTCTCAGGCATCAGCCAGGAGCTCCAGCACTATGACCTCCAGGCCAGCAGGGGGCGACCCACCAGGCCTGAGGAGGTGCGAATTTCCACTGGGCCGAGACAAGGCGGCCATCATGTGGAGCCTCCCAATTACTCAGTAAGTGAAGTTATTCTGTTTTGTTTTTTCTTTTTTTTAGGTTCACTTTTTTCTCAGCCTTCCGCCCAATGACAGCTGGGATAGGCTCCAGCACCCCACCACTTTTTTCTCAGGTTTAAATCTTCAGGCGTCCATATGCAGGCCTATAATTCAGCTCTTCGCTCTTACAACTACGTTATTTTGTTATGTACTAGTTTCAGAATAGGTCATAGTAATTACAGTATAATGAGTCTTAAGCTCAATAACTGAATAACACACCTAATGTCTAATGGGCTAAAAATACTTTTGAATATATTTAATAACTTTTATAATAATGGTAATTTCAGAACATTATTAATTTAAGCACAATATTAGGACATGGAAAGGGTGCAGATTGTCACTTATTATTATTTTTTATATTTAACTAAAACATATATGGGCCCACACTTCACCTTCAGAACTTACACGGTAGTTTAATCATAGTTACCAGATAAGTCATAGCAGTCAATGAATAATAAGGCTTAAGATTGGCAACTACTAAGCGTGAGGTTTCAAGAGGTTAATCTGTGTCTTCTCTTTCTCAGACTGGGCCAGCTGACCCCAGGCAGCAGCAGCGTCAGCAGCAGCATCATTATCGCTCCGGTCATCCTCCTCGCTCTCAGGATGTAGGACCTCAGTCTTCCCGTCGACAAAGCAACAGGGACCCCAAGAGGGAAGCGGGAAGTGGACACCCCCCTCCGCCTCAGAGGCTGCGCACGGACGCTTTTGAAACCGCTAATGAGGCTGGTGGCCAATTCGGCCCCAGAGAACGTTCGGCGGGGCGCCGGCCTCGCTCCCACAACCCTTACCCTCACCCCACCCATGCTGCCTCAGGCCCCGTCTACTGCCAGCCCATCACCACGGTGACGGCCTCAGCCTCCGTGACGGTGGCCGTTCATTCAGGGATGGCCGGCCAGAGCCCTGCCTACCCCTGCTACCCCTCCAACGACAGCTATCGCACTTCAGAAGAAGTCTACCCCGACGCCCACTTCCCTGACCCACATGTGCCCTTCGATGAGAGCTGCCACAGTGCAGATTCCAAGGCGGAGGGCATGGAGCTTCAGGACCTAGAGTTCCACTCTCCCAGCGACTGCCACACAAGACCTTCCAGCTGAGGTTGAATTCACTTCTTGAATCTTTTAATGCTTCATTTAATTTCTATGACCCTTCAAAGTTCATAGTTTTGCCAAGAAATCAAAAGTTTCATGCAAAAGTTTAAACACCCAGAGTCAAATTAAATGTTTTTTAGTAAGTAAAAATAAAAGACACATCCGGTGTGAGAAACAAACCTAAATATGACATTTTTCTTTAAATTTTAATACACAATTTAAAATTACTTTCTGCTCAACATATTGGGGGAAAAACATAAAATATAAAATGTGCCAAAACTTTGCACATTTATGTGTAATTTTTTTCGCAATGTGTTAAATTGAGCAAATAAACAGTAATTGTGCAATAAAATATGCAGAAGTGTGTTCTCTACAGAACATGTGTACTTATTTTCCCTCAGAAAATCAACAAAACATATAACACAAACAGCAGCGGCCAAACTTTTGCATACAACTTTATATAAACAAATGGACTGAAACAGTTTTTAATATGCCCTTTTGACGGAATTTCCTTAATTGTTTTCATAAGCTATGTGTGAACAATAAATAATATCACACTGGAACTTTTGCTTTTATCACCATGACTCTTAAGCACCAATGGATCTACTCCCTTATAGATGGAAGTAACTTTTACAGGTGTTTACTACCAATTACAAACTATGTTTTAAAGCAAGATTTTGTATTTTAATGATTCAGTTAATAAGCTAATTAGCAAGATCTGTATGAACTGGTGTCACAATGCAGACACAAATGTTTACATGCACATAAAGTAATGATAGCATTAACATATGTTCTAATCATGCACTGTTGACCGTGTAGTTAACTGTGCTTTCGCTCTTCCTCCCTGCAGTGGTTGAATGTTGAAGCACAAATGGCCAAAGATGGGACATCACCGTCTGCTAGTGTGGAAGAGACATGGTGCTGCAGGGTGGGGGCACGTGGACCAGCAGCGCCTCCGTGGTGCTTGACTCTGTTACTGTATAGCTCTAATGTATGTCTGTCTTAGATATTTCTATAAGTATTTAAAAAGAAACGTGTACACAAGTGTAAATACGAACGAGAGTAGCTATAATTGGACCAGTCTGGGGGTCGTCAGACTGGTGTCCATGTGTACGATTTTGTGATTACTGTCCACCCATCATCTGTGTATCTGTGCCATGAGGAAGCTTCATCTTAGACATACTTATCAGCATACAGATGTTGCTGCTTAAGATGTTGTAATGTACCTGTATTATTCTATGCAATTATTTTGATGTTAGAGTGTGTGTGTGTGTGTGTGTGTGTGTAAGAGAGAGAGAGAGAGAGAGAGAGAGAGAGAGAGAGAGAGTGAGAGAGAGTCTACATATGTGTGTGTGTGTGCGCACCCTGTGCAAACATGATGGATCACTCCAGGCCCCACAGGCTCATGTCACATCCATTGAAGGTAGAATAAGGAACACAAACCAGGTTTCATCTTCAGCTCTTCATCAGAATTATTCTGTATGATTTTCATTTGGAGTCTTCATGCGTTTTCTGCAGCTCCTACATTTTAATATGAATTGTCTAGCCATCACTGCCATGCTTTTCTGTAGGAGTTTTATAAACAGTCATTTCATTTAGGGCCTGGCCAATAAGACAATTTTGTGGCTGATATTGATATTTTGATACCAATACCAATTTTCTGACACCGCTTTTACAATACAGATAACTGATATCAGCTGATAGAATTTTATATTCATATTTTAGATAAAGGGTCTTTATTGACAGATATGATTGTCACTTCTCAATTATCACACCTCTTAACAACAGACGCATAATCTAATGTAGCCCTGGTGCAGAGCTACCCAGAATGTTTGCATTTTTGGTACTTTTTTGATATTTTTCTTATTTTTCTTTAGTTCTCTTCATAAAAAAAAGTTTTTGTCTGTGTTTTATGACATTATTCGTGTGCTAAAGGTTAAGTTTGGATGCATGGTATATGCTTTTGTAATACTTAACATCATTGTATTTTGTTTTCAGATTAACCAGTTCAGCCTGTATTTTTAAACAGATCATATTTCAGAGCGTGACTCATATTGAGCTGTCCAGTAGCACAACTGTTTAACGTTTTGGAGGTCATCATCAGGAGGTCGCAAATTTGACTTGATGGCATATTATCCGCAATATTATCGGCCAATACCGATAATGCCGTGGGTTGCTTATACCGGTCAGGCCCTAATTTTATTAGTATGTTTTGGTTATATAGAACATATTCACTGTTTTAAGTTGTAGAAATCTTACAAATGATTAGTTTTTTCTTCATTGTACAACCTCATTATACGAAGTCAGGTCTTTCCATGCGTTAATGTGTGGAAGCTGCAGACAAGCACCGTGTGTTTGTGTAGGTGTGCGTGTGTGACCATGTTTTGTGTGTACTGAAGTAGAATGTATGCTTTATTCAGATGTTAATTTGCTTATCACAAACCTGTGGTAGTTGAAAAGGAAAAAAACGATTACTGTTTAACATTGAACCACGCTATGCGTGAAAATTTAGATATGAAGAAAGTGTAGGGAGCGTTTGCGTGTGGCTCTGCTGTTCTTGCTCTACATCAGAACTATTCTTTGCTCTTCTAGCTCGATTCGAGTTATTTTACTGTAAAACGGCCATTTAGTGACAACCCTTGTTTGCTCTCAATACTCATAAGTGGATTACTGGGTAAATAACGATTACATAGTACAGGTACAGTGTTTTCTTGTGACTGGCATTGGTACTGTTTTGTCAGTTCTTGGGTTTACTAGGTAAACCTGTTAGCCTCTGTAGCATCGCTCTCTTATCTTTTACATCAGAATGGCATTATTTTTTTACTTTTACTTTCAAGCTAACAGGACGGTTTGTTAAGACTAATACAGCTAAACCTCTCATTGTAGCTACTCTGACAACACAACTGATGTCTTCCCTCACTTCACACGTTTTGATAAGCTACGTTGACGAGCAGGCCGAAGGGTTCACCACTAAATGGCCAAAGGAGACCAGCGTTTTCTGTCTCAAGGTCCGTCGACCTCCTCACTGACAGGCCGCAACTACTGGCCCCAATTTAGCACGAGCAGTTCTCTCCTCTGACCTCACCTCATAAAATTCCACAACACAACGCCATGACACTAATTGGAAGTTCCCCCTCGACTGCCAAATGGTGCATGCGAGTGCTTCTAGGGTCAAGGGTCACAGAGCCCCCACTTCACTCTGAGTCTGGTGTGTGTGTGTGTGTCTGCCTGTAAGAAGGCCTATTTGTGTGTACGTCTGAGTGTGTGTGGTTCTCTTTTTGCCAGCGTCCCCAACCCCCCCCCCCCCCCCCCCCCCCAAGTCTGACTTCCTGTCAGACACACGGATTTCTGTCTCTTTGCTTTCTTTGTTCCTTCGCTGAGGTTTCTGTCCTTCTGTCCACTGCTTGTGTGAGCTGTTTGTTTGTTTGTTTTTGTTTTGTGTTCTCCTAAATGTCACATTGGCAGAAACAGGAGAGAAACATGGCTGGCAACTATTGTTATTCGGTTTTATATTCTATTATTTTTTTACATTTGTTTTGCAATATTTATATTTTTGTATTATAAGATGTTGTTGTTTTTTTGTTCAATAATGGTCATAATGCCAGTTGTTAACAATGCAGGGATTTTTATGTCTGTCTAAAAACACTATTACAGTTTTTTGGTGTCCTTACATTAATGGATTTTGATGTGTATAAAGTGCTTACTAATGTTAAATAGGAAAAAAAGAGTATATAACATTTACATTACAGATTCATCACAGCTCTTAGAGGATTTTAAAAGGAAAATGATCAGTGGTTTTTACAGACTGCCATTTTTTTTCCTCAGTTGGCGTGGATGTATGTCATTTTCAGTTACAAAGATAAATGTATGCCATATAATTTATTTATATGAAAATTTATTTTTGTAGTGTACATAGTAGGTGTCAAGTTACTTGACAGAAGTATATTTTTAAAGAGTTTATATGTAATGCTACCATCTTTGTTCTGGTTTTTGTGAGAACATAACAGAGACATTAAGTCATTTAAGGTGCACACTTTCATTGCTAACTTGTTCTCAGACTAAAGTCCCCCTTTTTACAGTGTTACCATAGAAGAGAGTGAGTGAACTCTGAAAAGACTGTGTTTCGGGTTTTGTGAAAAGCTAGCCATGAAAGTAGAAAAAAAGATGTACTAGCTCTCGAAATAATAATGTTCAAACACTGATAGAATTCTAACAAATAAAAAATATTATAACTTATTTGTCTCTTTGTTCTAAATAAACGAATCTGAAAGATGTACAGTAGCTACTTGTGGCTGAGTCTGTGACCGAGCAGCGCTGTGACTGTGTTTTCCACTCATAAGTTAGAAACCCCTGAGCGTTTTCATCACTGAGCATACAAATTGCAAACATACCAGTCTCAAAAGAAAAGTCCAGTCCTTTTTGCGTGAGATGAAGATTAAAAGCGAGGTCCACAGCATTATCTTTCTCCGGCTTTTCCTCTTTCTGACATCTGGCCGCAAACCCAGTCGTCTCCCCCCCTTAGCAGCGGGCCGCTCCTGCGCCCCCCTCTCCTTTATGATTCTGATTGACAGTTTTATAGACTGCAAGGAAATTGGTTGTAGTTACAATACAGCTGGTGTGCTCTAAGTAATGAAAAGGGGCATATGGCCTTGAAAAACACGGTGATGGAAACTGATTCAGGCTGACCCCTCGTAACTTGGCTGCATGGGTGGTGGCCATTTATTATTCATACGCCAGCATTCGCCCTGCTTTGTTTCTCTCTACTGTACCCTGTGATACGCTGCACTCATGTGCTGTCTGAATGGGTTGCGGCCTGCGTAATTGCCCCTAATAGCCAATAAGGACGTTATCTATGATTTGGCAGCCAATCGGCGCTGACAGGCAGGTCATGTGGTGTGAGACGTGTACATAGACATTACATAGAATTGACTGTTTATAACACTGAGACGTCCTGTCAAACTTTCAGCTCAGGTCTGACAATCAAAACAGCATTTTATAAATGATTATTATTAAAAAAATAACTGGCTTTACAAGTTCAGTGCAGACATACATGTTAATTGACAAACTATGCTTTTAGGCCATGTTTTCATTAATCCTTTAGCCACTAGGCTTTACACCGGCAGGTTTTTATGTTTAATAATTAAGAGGTTTGAGTAATGGAGGCTTCTCTTCAGTTTAGCTCATGCTAATGCTAACCCTGTAGCTGTGTGCAAGTTAAATAGCTGTGAGTTAAATCCTGAAAAGGAATCGTCGTCTTGCACACGATATTTTAGCAAAATTTAATGCAAAATAATTGAGTCTAATGCACCACCACTGCCGTTCTCACTGCAGGTTTGCTCTGAGGAGTTTTATCGAGAGCACTTCATTCACTTGATAGAGGAAATAGCACTTAAACACAATTGTGATTGGCTTGGAGGCGAATAATTATTTTGCAATTCATGTGAGTTTTGTGTAAAGGTTTTTATTAGACATTATTTTACTTTAATGATTAATACTGCTGTGCTGCAGCATTTTAAACAGTCTTTCTTCAAAATGCTACATAAATCCCAACACAGTTTTTGGCTGTAAAATCAGCTAGCTTAAGTAATTACTAAAAACTAGCTAAACCAAAACTACAGCTGCAGCACAGGACTGTTATGTCTTGATACCATAAACACAAAAGTCTTCCTTTTCTCTTCAGTTCTAAGCAGCCATGCTGAATAATGAGCCTCTAGATTGTAAGATTACATTCAGATTGCTCATTCAACTAGGTAGCAAATTGCTGCGACATGCTAATGTCTACAAAATGTTGATCATAAACCAAGTTAAAGCTGCAATATGTAAGTTTTGTGGATGTGGAGACCTCTCTGGTAGATTTTGTGATATGGGTTGTGCCTCCGACCCCTTCCCCGAGAGGACGAATCTGGTGATTTTGAAAAAGTATTCAAAGAGAACCCAGTCAAACTCAGTCAAAGTGTTCTGAGAAAGTAAGTGAAGTATCTGCTATTGTTATCATATCTTCATCAGTATAATGTTGATTTTGCGTTTGAGACCTTTACATGCGCCTTCTTTTTGAGTCTGTGCGTGTGACATTAATGCATAAAGATGTATGATGTGGTCCGATAATGCAGCTAAAAAGTAATGGAAATTGTTTATGTCACCAAAAATCTTTTTGGCTGAAAGACTTTTAATAATATTCATCGTGTAACTTCGCTGCAAAAATTGCAGAAACACACCTTGGCCGATCTACTGCTTTTGGGGTCTGTGAAAACTGCAGATGTGCTCTCTGCTAATTCCCCTTATAAAAAGGTAACACCGTGCACATCTCACTAAAATGGATTAAACTCCTGGTAGCTTCCAGGCTCTAGCAGTGCGTCTATCTCTGTGCTAGACAGCTGTGCAGAATGAGCTCGGAGGCTCCCTCTCGCCTGCCTCCCAGCACAAAGCTGGGAACCATTAATGGAGGAATTCAGAGGCCCTGAAATCACACATCTCATCACTCAGAGAAAGAGAAAGAAAGTGAGAGAGAGAGAGTGAAAAGAACAGACAGCGGAAGAAGAAGGAGAAGGTGTTTATTTTTCAGCGTTGGAAGCTGCGATCCAGCTGTTTGGCAGCGGCAGGCCAAGATTTGAATAGGAACGCCCAGAGGAGCATTACAGCCACCGCCGCCATCAGCCAGCGAGTGAAGTCAAGTCGGCGCTGAGCGCTTCAGAGCCAGACTCTGCTGCCAGAAAGTGATGGTATGACATGCATCCTCTGAATTCGTAAGGCTAAGAGAGACGTAATGTGTGAGGGACAAAGAGGCATTGTTAGTAGTGTATGATGTATTAGTAGTATTTGGAGCACTTACTGGTGCATTTAGCAGCAGCAAGCAATCATGCAATTTGCTGTAGGTCTGGCAAAACCCTTGAGAAGGTTCCAACTATGGACGTCCCTCGTGGGGCCCCGGAAGTGCTGAGAACCAATCAGAGACAAGCAGCCTGTCCCAAAGTAAACACTTGCGGTTTGTGGCTTTGCTGAAGTGCACACTAACGTGATGTAATTCCGGATTTATGAAAAGTACGCAAACAATCGTTAATTCTTGGGATATGCATGTATGTGTCGATATGTGAATATAAACAAGTTTCCCTGATATTTCTGAAACTTCACATTAGAACTTCAAAATCACACTATACTGTGAGATATATACCTAACTAAATTTGCTTCAGTGCAATATTGAGGAAAGGGTGCGTTTAGTGAGGTCTTGCAAACTTTTGAGACATTTGAGAATGATGCAAACTACTGATTGGTCAAATGCAGTCTTCACAGAACCGCCTGGATCATCCATTGAGCTGCATGCCAGGGGCCCGAGCCACTAGGAGGCCTCCTTGAGCAATTATGAGAAAGCTTAACAGCTGTTTTGACTCATGGTGGGAACTTTACTAGCAGCACAGTGGGAAACATTGAACTAATAACAATCATAATCCTGTTGCTTTCCATGTCTTTCCTCAATGTTCGCTTTATTTTCTCCAGTCACTGCTTAATAACTGCTACACTTTCCAATGCAGCATTTGAGTTTTTAGCAGTGAGCTAATGTAACGATGAGTTTGAAGCTTCCGATATTTAAAAAATGTGGCTAGGGGATCTGTAAAAGTCAAAACCTGACCGCAACAGTAGAGGATGCCAATTTCAAAATTCAAGCCAAATATAAGACATCAGCCACCCAAGTTGAAGAAAAAAGTGGAATTGTCCTTGTCTGCAGTGATCTGCGTCATCAGAGGTAAGATATAAATTAAAAAAAAACATTTGCACTACTGCCATGACTTTAGCTAGAATGCTTGATGGTTTGGGTCTTTAAGTTTGCTGTTATTTTCTTTATGCACATTTTATCTGTCTGATTTTATGTCGTCATTATTGGGCGAGCGGACACATGCTTTATGAATAAGTGTTGCATTGGTTGCTGGGTTTATGTTAACCTGTGTTCTCGTTCATATGTAAATGATCTTGCTATTGGTGTGTCTCAATTGAAAAAAACCTATAGCTGTGATGTGCCCAATGCTGCACTTAGTATGCTACCATCCTGGTTCTGCATAGGTCTCGTGCAACCTGCAGTGATAATATAAAAAACATTACTGATCACCCAAGAAAAATAGCAAGGTAGGGGCCCACTAAATATTTGTGCCCCAGGGCCAATAACATGATGATTCAGGCCTGGTCACATAGTGTCATTCAAGTCATTAAAACAATAAAAAAAACACTAGCTATCCAGAACTGATGTCTGTGACTCTTCACTCAAAATTATGCAGAGTAAAAGTATGAGACACTCACTAAAGAGAGAACATGAATGCTCAAAACCACAAATGTGAACATGGGACAGGCTGAAAAAAACACTTTGCACATGCATTTGGCAGAAATACTTCAAGAGGACCCCAGACTTATTTCCCAGAAACAAAATTTGTCTGATATTGGTCAAGTACAGATTAAACTAAAAACAGCAGCTCCCACTGTAACATTATTAACCAGCAAATAAACAAGCAAGCTTTTCAGATCATCCCACAATAAATGTTTAACCACCTGAAAATCTCCCTCTAAAGTTAGCAGCCCTGGCTAACAACAGTCTAGTGGAGCTGGTTGTTCAAGTACCAGCACTGATAGTGCAACACACCACAAAACAGGTGAGATTTACTTCTGTCACCCTAACACAAGCCACTTAACCTCACTCCTTCAGATTTGAGTTCTTATCCTCTAAATATCTCACAGTGGAGCATATAAAACTGAAATTAACCTGCACTGAGGTGCAAAGAGTTGTTAGCCTGCTAGTTATGCTAGCACTAGCACATCTGCAGGCTAACACACACTAAATTACACAGTTTATTGAATAGATGAGCTGTTAGCTTTTTGCTATAATACCACTGTAACAGTGACAAAGCACAGAGGTTGATTTGAAGTGTTTGTGAGATTTGCACTGATGGAAAATGTTGCTTTTGTTCACAATTGTTATTTCGCTTTGCTTCATTTCAACCATTTTGATGAATTTGACAAATAAAACCAGTTAAACTCATTTTCATTGTGAATGACCATTCAAGTCCATTGGGATGTTGAAGGATTTTAAACATCCCTGCAGTTCTAATCACAGGACGGAGACCTGGACAATCTGCGAATGATCACACACATATACACAATATGTAGCTCTTTGCCGTGTTTGCAAACTTCAAAATGGCCGTTTCTTTCGAAAGACACCACC